ATTTATTTATTTGACAGACAGAGATTACAAGTAGGCAGAGAGGCAGGCAGAGAGAGAGGAGGAAGCAGGCTCCCTGCTGAGCAGAGAGCCCGATGTGGGGCTCGATCCCAGGACTCTGAGATCATGACCTGAGCCGAAGGCAGAGGCTTTAACCCACTGAGCCACCCAGGCGCCCCCCCTCTCTGATTTTTAGATGCCTCCTTTGTCACATGGAAGTAATAGTTAATATTTCGTTCTGCTAGGGCTGGATTTCTTTTTATTCTGTTATATCTGTATTGTTTCAATTGTATTTGTTTTTGAAAACTATGTTCACCTGGCTCAAAATTTAAAAAATACAAAATACACAGGGGCGCCTGTGTGTCTCAGTCCATTAAGTGTCTGCCTTTAGCTCAGGTCATGATCCCAGGATCCTGGGATCCAGGGAACCTTTCATTAAGCTCCCTGCTCAGTGGGGAGCCAGCTTCTGTCTCTCCCACTCCCCCTGCTTATGTTCTCTCTGACAAATAAGTAAACAAAATCTTAAAAGAAAATAGAAAATATACAAAAGAATACATATACAAGAGAAATTTCCTCCCAAATTGCCCTCACATTTACCTGAATAGTATCTCTTTTTACACATCTGGTGGATACTTCCATAGATACCATCTATTGAGGACCTGGACCTGCTATGTGAGCTTCCCATGATTATCTCACTTAATCCTCACAGCCACGCACCAGGCGTATGGGGAAACAGGCTCAGAGACAAGACACTAGCTTGCAGCTATATGTCTGGTAAGCGGTAGACCCAAGATAACGTGTGTTCCTTTATGAAGTGCCTGCTATGAGTTAGGCCCCTGGGAATGTCCCAGACCTGGGACTTTCAACAAATATTGAGTGCCCTCATCTTTTGGTCACTGGGCCAGGCCCTAGGTTACAACAGTAGGGAGGACGGCTCAGCCCTCCCAGAGCTGATATTCCAGTGGAAATGGCTCGTCGTGGTCACCCCATTTCCCGGGTAAGGAAACCAAGGAACAGAAGAGCAAGAAACTGCTCACAGTCACAGGGTGGTAAGAGAAGAGGTAGGAGGGGCTATGGGATGCCTCCATAAGTTAGGCATGTGACTTTTTTTTTTTTTTTTAAAGATTTTATTTATTTGACAGACGGAAATCACAAGTAGGCAGAGAGGCAGGCAGAGAGAGAGGAGGAAGCAGGCTCCCCACTGAGCAAAGAGCCCGATGCGGGGCTGGATCCCAGGACCCTGAGATCATCACCTGAGCTGAAGGCAGAGGCTTTAACCCACTGCGCCAACCTGGAGCCCCGGCATGTAACTCTTGATTTGGGCTCAGGTCATGCTCTCAGGGTCCTAGGATGGAGCTCCATATGGGTTTCCTGCCCACTGGGGAGTCGCTAGTCTCCTTCTCCCTCTTCCCCTCCCCCTGCTCACTCTCTCTAAAACAAATAATTGTCTTAAAAAAAAAAAAAAGATCTAGGATAAACAGACCCGTTTCACTGGTGGGGAAACTGGGGGACACAGAAGGGGAGGACCTTGCCCAAGGGAACCCAGCTAGCGGAGGCGGATCCGGGAGTCAGGGCTCTCACGGGTTAGACGGCCCCTCCCCTCAGGGGGGAGGTCCCAGGGCGGTCCCCGCCCCCGGCGCTCGCGGCCGCGTCCCTGGCAGGCCCAGCGGCCGTTTCCTGCCTGCGTCGCTGGGCGGGCGGCGGGCCCATCTGGCGGCCCCCACGGGGCGGCGCGGGGAGGCGGCCCAGACTCGCTGGAGCCAGGCGCCGGCTCGCGCCCCCCGCCCGCCGGGGGAGCCCAGGTGTGGCCGCGGCGGGGGTGGGGGTGGTGCCTTCCTTCCCGCTCGGCCCTTCCTGACGCACCCGGGCAGGATGCAGCCTCCGCCTCCCAAGACCCGGCCTGGAGTCGCTGAGGGAATCCCAGCGGTGGGAAAGCCTGACGGGTCTGAGCAGCCCCCGGGATCCACTCCCTTGTGTGACTTTTGGGGGGTGTGGGGGAGTGCTCAGTCTTCCCATTTGTACAAGGACGCATGAGCTCTGACTTCCTGGATCTTGCAAGCTTTCGCCTTACCTCTCGGGTACCCCAGACAAGACTGGGGAAACCGGAGGCACCACTCCCGTCCCAAGTGTTGACTTGACATTTTTCACTTGTTCAGCCATTTTTCTTTTTAAAAATTTTAAAGGTTATTTATTTGGCGGGGAGAGAGGGAGAGATCTCAAGTAGGCAGAGAAGCAGGCAGAGAGGGGGAAGCAGGCAGAAAGGGAGGGGGAAGCAGGCTCCCTGCCGAGCAGAGAGCCTGATGCGGGGGCTCCATCCCAGGACCCTGAGATCATGACCTGAGTTGAAGGCAGAGGCTTAATCCACTGAGCCACCCAGGCGTCCCTGTTCAGCCATTTCAAGTCTGTTTCAGCGCTTGACATTGTGTTCCCTGCTGTGCCCAGCTTCTTGACCAGTACCCAACTCATTCCTGGTGTTTAGGCCTGAAAAGGTATCTCGAGGCTTTACCCCCAGAAGTTGGAGCCGCGCTGGGAGGGTCTTACCCATTTCACAGCTGAGGAAACAGGACAGAGTGGGCAGGCCCCTCCAGTCAGTGTGGCAAGCCAGCCCTGCTCCGCCAAGACGCTGACCCTCTTCTCCAGTGCCGCTCCCAACAAAGGGAACCCGGGATCCAGCAGCCTGATTTATGTCAAAACAGCACCTGTGGTGAACATCATGGTCTTGGAAGCCAGGCATCCTGGGTTCAAATCCCCCCTGTGTACTTAATTCTCTTTGCTGCCATTTACTTTATCTGTAAAAATGATGGTACTACCTTATGGGGTTGTTGTAACGACTAAATATTTCAAAAATACGTAACATATTGCTAGAAACATGTTAAGTACAAATAAAATTGTATTAAGGGCTCTCAGCAGGGCTGGTCTTCCCCCTTGGAGTCCCCTTCCACCTCCTGTAGCCAGGGGAGATTAAGGCCAGAGGGGAACACCTAACAAATCAGGGACAGGACTTGGGGATTTTGGAGCAGTTTCCCAAGAATCCACTCCCACCCCGGGGTGAGGCTGGCACTAGGCCCACCCAGAACCCTGCCCAGCCACCCACCCCCACCTCTCCAGCGTGCAGGCTCAATCCATGCCCGGCCTGGTGCCATTTTTCCATGGGACTCTGGTGGTGGCGGTTCACATCTGGAGTCTAGACTCGGAGGCTCTGCGGGCCGGGCCTACCGCCCGGGCTGGGCCACCGCTGCCCGCTGTTTGCTCAGCTGAAGCTGGTTAATTGGAATTAGAGTGGCCTCTGCGGTGCCGGCTGGCCGGGCGGGCCCTGGATGGCCGCTGCCGAGGTCTGTGGAACATCTGGCCGGGCTGGGCCGGTCATTAGGTGGCAGGCGCCCGGCGCCACTGCCACCTCAGCCTCTGCCGGGGGCCAGCGGTGACTCAATGAGGCCTTTGTAGGCCGTGGGCCACAGAGCCAACCATGCTGTGTGCCTGGGCCGCCTGCCCCATCTGCTGCCCTCAGAGGGGCCTTGTTCCAGGACCACACGGTCTCCCCTCCGGAGGTGGCAGGGGTCGGCAGGGATCCGAGAAGCCCCTGAAAGGGACTCCTGGCTGGGAGAAACCTTTGAGATTTCCTCGCCTTCCTTTCTGTCTCTATAGGCCCAGAGAAGTGGGGCAGCTATCTCAAAGGTGTCCAGAACACCAGCCAGGGACTCGGGCCCAGGGTCCTAGAGGGGAGCTGCACAGTCCTTAGGAACTTGGGAATTCAACATGGACTGCTTGAGGTCAAGTGCACATCTGTGGTAACCCACCTCAATGGTCTCATCTGCACAATGGGGCTCATACTAGTGCCTGGAGCCTAAGACTGAAATGAGGTGAAATCTTCGAGTGAGGTGCTTGGGAACAATTTAATACACGGATACTTCCCATTCTCTGCTCATACCTGTCTTTTGGCCACCTCCGAACTGTCTGGAAACGAGTTATTTTCAGCCTTTGAACCTGAAGCTTGGGCATGAGAGCCCTGGGTTGGGAGCTGGAGGCCCGAGTCCTGGGCTGGGGCTGGTGGTCACCCTCTTCCACCTGTTTTCTCCACCCAGTGACCCCACAGCAGGCAGGTGGATAAGGGCTGGGCCCACCCCTTGCCTGGTCCACTGGGGATTCTTGCAGGCCATGGCTCCTTGCTGTCTTCAGCAAACTTGCACTGGGCCCCATTCCTTCCCATTCCAGCCTTTCAGGGGCCCTGGTCCTTGTGCTGTGACTGGCCTCAGTGTGTGGAGGGGGTGGCTTCTAGCATCAGCATCCTTCTGGCCTTGCATAGTCATTTTGGGAAGAATGCTGGGAATGAGCAGAATAGGAATTATGGGGCCGTGATCTCCAGGGCGATCTAGAATCCATGTGCTCTCCAGCTGAAGCCATAAAGACCTGGGTCCTGCCAGCCTGGGAATAAAATCTAAATCCTTCCCTGGGATCCATGAGGCCCTGACCATTTCTCTAGCTTTGCAGATACTGGTCCTCTTGCTGAATCAGGTCAGCTTTTTGGTATCCTCCCTTGTTGTCTCGCCAGGGTAGGTGGGCGATACATGGAGCACCTAACAGCCTCACTGCACTCAAGTGTTGGGAAGAATGTGGTGAAGAAAACTAAAGGGGGGCCCGGGGTGGTAATGAAGGAGGGCTCGTGGGCCCCCTCTGCTGGCAGGAGGCATCCCTGGCGTGCTGAGCTAGCTAGGCACTAGTCGTGCATCCACGAAGATGGAAGGACCTGGAGGTCAGGGTCTCTCCCTGAGGTTTTGAGTTCCTAGTTCCCAGGAAGGGGCTTCCAGGGAAGTTTCTGAGTGGCAGGGTGAGAGCTAGTAAAGGCAAGATGCTGGGTGCAGAGAACCCCTCTAGGGGCATAGTGGCCTACCTGAGCAATGGGATGACATTTTTTTTTAAGTGGGCTCCACACTGGGCATTGAGCTCAAGCCCCAACCATGGGGCTTGAACTCACAACCCTGAGATCAAGAGTTGGACACTTAACCGACTGAGCTACCCAGGGGATCCTGGGATGAATTTTTAATGTAAGGCAAAGTCAGTCCACAATACAAAAATCTAAAAATCAGACCCACTTTTCCCGCCTGGCATCTGGGAGGGTGGGGGAGTTGGGGCTTCTTTTGCCTGCAGAGGATGAGAAGGGGCAGAGGAAGGCCAGAGAAGGGGGATGAGGGAACCAGGCCGTGGGAGTCCCCGCAGGAGGGATCCTGTTGCCCCCGCCCCTCTGCTGGAGCTGCCCAGCCTCCCACACCCTCGGCCTCCGGCGCCCTCTGCCCGCGCAGGCCTGTACTGGCCTGCCTCCACCTGCCTGGCCTGGCCCTCAGAGGGTCAGGCCCCAGCTGTATCATTTCTCCTTCTTCTCCAGCCCCTTCGATGCCGAGGCCTCTGTTCCCTCTTTGGATCCCTCTGTCACTGCTGCTGCATCCTTAGGATTTGACTCCTCATAACTGACCAAAAAAACAAAACAATAAGAACAACACCTTTAGAGGAGGGGGAGAGCAGAACTTCCAGGCCCCACCTCCCCACCATCCCAGGAAAATCCCTGGGCACACAAGGAACACCAGCCTGGCATTCACGGCCCAGCATCTTCCAGGCTTGGCCCCGGCCCCACCGTATGCCCTTCTCAGACAGGTTGCTCTCCTTTTTCTGTGCCTGGTGGTGCCAAGAGGTAGTGGAGGGCAGCGGCAGATGGAGAGGTTGGGCTTGGGTGGATTAACTTTAAGCTTCTTGGACCTTCCACTGGAGAGAGTGGGGAAAAAAATGGGGCAGCCAGGATGAGGCTACGGGAGGGGGGCTGCTTCCCAGGGTGCGTGGCAGGTGTCAAACAACTCAGCCCCAGGACACAGGCAGGCAGGGGGCTGCTCTTCCGGGAAGTGGCAAGGTGGCACTCTCGAAGGCTGCTACCCTGGCTCAGGTTTTGCTATGGGCCCCATTTATTGAGCAACTGAGTTCACGCCAAGGACAGTACCTGTATCTCTTCCCCCCCAAGGTCAACCCCAGGAGGCAGGAATATGCCCACTTAGATGAACAGAGAGAGGTTCTGGAAGAGGAAAGTGACCTGCCCAGGGTTTCTTATAGAGGCCAACAATAAGAGTATCTATTCCTGGATGATGAGGGTCGTTGCTCTCTGCTCTCTCACATGAAGCCCACACCACTGGCGAGGACGAGGTTCTAGAGCCCAGCTCCCGGCCCTGAGGCTGGGTATGGTGACTGCCTGGTGACAGTGGAGGACTTGCTGCCTGCCCCTGGCAATGCTCCCGGCCCCATCCACTGGATCTGGGGTGTCTGCCCTACCTTGGGCCCCGGGGCAGTGGGGGGAAGCAGGCAGGTGGGCACCTGCCAGGCATTACATGGCGCTGGGATTCTGCGGGCGCCGGCGGCGAGGGCCAGCTAGCTTCTGCTGCATGGAGTCGGCCAGGCTGGCGGGGGAGCCCGAGACTGTGGGGAAGTGAGTGAGCCTCGGGGTGTGAGGCAGGATTTCCGCCGAGGACTCGTAGCTGTGTGAGAGACAGAGAGACAGAAAAAAAGAGATGGAGAGGAAAAGACCAGGGGGGAAGGGAAGGGGACAGAGACTTCTCTTGGAAGGAGCAGGGAGCAGTGCGGTCTTATTTTTATCTTCCTCTGCATCTTCAGACTCAGTGGGAAAGCAGCTGGACTTACTAGGTGTATAAAAAAAAGATGCACCCATACAAAGGGACACCATGCAGCTGTGCAAAAGAGCAAGGATGTTCGAGATGTGCAGGTGCTGCTGCAGAAACACCTCTGAGACCTGCTGTTTGTGTGAAAAATCCAGATGCAGAATGCTCCAAGGGTGCTTCCATCCGTGCAGGAACGCGCACGCATGCTGTGGTGTCTGTGAGACAAGCGCTCTGGGGTGGCTGCGGCGCGAAGGGTTTTTCCCTCTCCTGGCCATGAAATTTTGAGTCATGTGAGTATGTGAACTAAGTTAATAAAAAAAAAAAAAAAAAGAGAGCATCTCTCAAGGGAAAAGTAAAACAAAAGATAAGGTGGAGAATTAGGGAGAGAGCTGGAGAAAGAGAGAGACAACCCGCTCTTTCACCTTAACCCGAGAACCTCCTGGGGGCGGGGGCAGAGGGGCAGAGAGTGCCCACGTGGCAGGACAGTTACGGAAAGCAGGAACTGAGCAGGTGCCCTCGCTCTGGGGGTTTAGAGCTTGACCTTATGTGGACACAACAGGACTGGGACTGACGGGGGGATGGTGACCCCAAGGCAGGGATGTGGCTGAGAATGGACGAGCCAGAGGGTGAGGGTAGGTGCTGAGCTCAGGGATCCGATCCCATCCGTCCCCACATCTGCCCCCAAGTTCACCCCCCAGCCTGGCCTCAGAGTCCACAGGGCTTTGCCAGCCAGGAGATATGGGCAGGCAGCTTGGGAGCCTGGGGCTTCTAGGCAAGACAGGGAGGGCAGAGGCAGGTACGGAGGAGGGGTGAGTCACAGGTTCCCTTGCAGGCAGCCAGGTGCACAGATGGCCCTGGCAGGCACTCGAGGGACAACTTGGAGGCCAGGCAGGAGACGCTGGGCGGAAGGCCCCGAGTGGGCAGCTTCAAGTGCAGCTGGGCAGCTATTTCTGGGTCCCTGGCAGGCGGGGTCAGTGGTGCTGGGGAGCAGACACCTGTTGGAGTCATGCAGGCCGTGGGCTATGGGTGGGGCAGTGCACAGGGTGTGGCAGAAGTGCATATGGCCACGGGGAAGGGGTATGAGTGCAAGTGAGACACTCGCTGAGACAGAGCTATGGGTGAGAGCCATTGAGGCGGCTCAACAGGGACTGACACCTGATTTCCAATCTGGGGCACCTCCTACCACACTAGGATCCTCCCTATTACTCACATGGGAAAGCTGAGGCTGGGAAAGGGAACGACTTGCCTGAAGTCACATGGTGTCACAGGCAGGCTGGGAACCTGGGGCTTCTGACAGTGGGGCAGCCTGGGGCGGGAGGGAACTACACCAGCCAGTCCCTTCCGAAGACCCAGCAGGCATCTGGATGTGGGGGCTGCCCTCCCCTGGCTCCCAGCCCCGCAGAAAGGTTCCTGCTGGTGCCACAGGCCAGGCACCCACGTGCTGGCAGAAAGGACAAGGGGTGGGGCCGGTGGCAGGAACAATGTTCCCCTGGAGACGTGTACAAGCAGCCCCAGCAGGCTCCACGAATTGCTTGCGAGTGCACCTGTGCCATGCAGGTGTCTGCCCCCCGCCCTGCCTTACCTGAACATCTCCGTCACTTCCCCCTTCGCCAGTGCCACCAGGACAGGAAAGCCAATGCAGGCGGGGACCAGGTACAAGAGGGCAGGCTGTGAGAGAACAGAGCTGGTGACCAACTGCTGGGTGGCACACCTGCTCAGGGCCATGACCATCATTCCAACCTTCTCCGGGGAATGACTGCTCAGGTTCCCAGAGCTAGTCAGTGGGTGCCTGGGCCTACACCTGGGGCTCCTGACCCCCTGAGCAGAGCTGCTCGTCCCTGGGAGGGAATGCAAGGAACCCAAAGAAAGTCAAGCATGCAGGGCTTTAAGGGTACCCAGGCGTCTGGCTGGCAGGATCTTAATGTCCTGGGACATCAGGTTCAGTCAAGCAACCTCCTGGGTCCACCCTACTCCCAGGGATTCTGCTTCCCTCAACTGGGGGTGGAAGTTTGCTCCAGGAGATGCTGTCAGATGCCGTTACAGTTAGACAACCTAGGCAGTCCGGCTCTAGAGCCTGTGCGGAGAGTCCTGGTGAAGCTGGGTTTAGAGGACAGGACGGAGAGCCTGCGGCGTATACTAGCCTGAGCTCAGCCTCCTGAGGAACATTTCAGTCCATCTCTACATCCCCTATGACCACCCTCCTTGTTCACAAGGAAGAAGACTGATGCTTTGGGAGGATAGGGGACAGTGCAGACCTCAGATATCTAAACGGTCAACGGGGGACTGGACCTCAGGCATACTGGATTCTAAAGCTTTCCCTTCCCTGTAGGCCCTGAAAGTTGAACATTACTGTTCAACCCTCTGTGACCTCTAGTGCTGCCAGTGGCCTAAAGTCCCCCGTGAGATGTGACCCTGCTTCCTTCTCCAATATTACCTGACTGGCTCTACTCTGGCGAAAATGACCTTTTTTTAAAAAAAAGATTATTTATTGGGGCAACTGAGTGGCTCAGTGGGTTAAGCCTCTGCCTTCAGCTCAGGTCATGATTTCAGGGTCCTGGGATCGAGTCCCACATGGGGCTGTCTGCTTGGCGGGGAGCCTGCTTCCCCTCTCTCTCTGCCTGTCTCTCTGCCTACTTGTGATCTCTCTCTCTCTATTAAATAAAAATCTTAAAAAGAAAAAAAGATTATTTATTTATTTATTTGACACAGAGAGATAGAGCGCACAAATAGGCAGAGCCACAGGCAGAGGGAGAAGGAGAAGCAGGCTCTCCACCAATCAGGAAGCCTCATATGGGGCTTGATCCCAGAACCCTGGGATCATGGCCTGAGCTGAAGGCAGATGCTTAACTGACTGAGCCACCCAGGCACCACACAATGACCTTGTTTTGGTCCTCCTTGTCACCTCTAGCCACAGGACCTCTGCACATGCAGTTTCTGCTGCTTGTGACGGTCTTCCCACTTCTGCCTAGACTCCTCCTCCTTCGGGCTTCTGCTTCCCTGCTACTTTTGTGGGGAAGCCCTCCCTGGCAGGGAGCCAGGCCCTCTTGTTGCCTACCCTCCAGGCCCCCTGCCATTCCCTATAGCATTCTCTGGCAGTCCGGAGCAGGACATAGCTCTGCCATTACAGACGTCAGTCTCTCCATTGCTAGGCTGTCACCTTCATGAGGGCAGAGTCTACGACTGTCTTGGTCACTGCTCTGTTCCTGGCATTCAGAAGAGGGCCTGGTAAGTACTAAGCAAATGGCTTCCTCATGGGTGCTCACGAAGTTAAGAGGGTGTTTTGGAGATGATTGGGGGTAAGGGTGAGGAGACCCCACTCCTAAGGCAAGTGAGGTCAGAGAACAGGGCTCTAGAGCCCACCAAGGCTGACCTTCAGACCATTTCTTGGCACCTGCCATGTGTGGCCTGTGAGCCACACTACTTCATACGTACTACCCTTGGAGCTAAAAACATAATCTGAGGCTTAGATAGGGATAAGGACTTGTCCAAGGTCACATGAGGTATGTAAAAGTGGCAGAGCTTCTCCCACTGTATCGGGTATTTGCTATGAGTTAGGCTTTGCATAGGTCAGGTTTTAGGCCTTTTGGATGGCAACAGAAATGACAATGACAAAAGTCTACACCAAAATATGTGAGAGGCAGCCAAAGGAGTACTCAGAGGGAGATTTATAACGTAACTCTAGGTGCATTTATTAGAAAATAAGACTTGAAATAATTTTAGATTTCAAGTTAAGAAGCCAGAAAAAGAGGGGCACGTGGGTGATTCAGTCAGTTAAGCTTCAACCTTTGGCTCACATTCTGGATCCAGGGCTCCTGGGATCAAGCCCTGCATCAGGCTCCCTGCTCAGTGGGGAGCCTGCTCCTCCCTTTGTGTGTGGTCTCTCATCTCCCTCTCTCAAATAAACAAAATCTTAAAAAAAAAAAAAAAAAAAGGAAAGAAAGAAAAAAAGCCAGAAAAAGAATAAAACACCAAAAAGTAGAAAGAAAATGACGGTAAAAGCCCAAATTGGGCGCCTGGGTGGCTTAGTTGGTTAAGTGACTGCCTTCGGCTCAGGTCAGGATCCCAGGTCCTGGGATCAAGCCCCACACCAGGCTCCTTGCTCAGCAGGGAGCCTGCTTCTCCCTCTGCCACTCCCCCTGCTTGTGTTCCCTCTTTCACTGTCTCTGTCAAATAAATAAATAAAATCTTAAAAAGAAAAAAAAGCCCAAATAGATGGGACAGAAAATAAAGCAAATATAAACTTATTAGAATTCAATTTCTCAAAAGGTCTCCTCACACCCACTTTGCAGACAATGAGACTGAGGATCAGAAGAGGGAACTCCTCTCACAGTTGGCCAGGATGTGGCTTTAAGTACCTCTCTGTCTCTAAGTCTTCATCAAGGCCAGGCCAGACAAAGTAGAGGGCTTCCATGGGAGGGCGGGTAGGGGAAAGGTGGTACAAGTTTAGCTTCCCCAAGGCCTTGAGAGCCAGGAGCCACTGAAGGGCTGCTGTGGGAGGTGGTGAGGTTGGTATTCTCAAGGCACCTGGGGCCTGCTCCAAGGTCAGTGCTGAGCAGAGGCTGGGATGTACAGCTCCAGACAGCAAGCTGGGTGGTAGGGCTCTTGACATTCCACCCAGCTCTGCCGTGTGACCCCGACTAAACTGCTTCCCTCTCTGTACAATGAAGACACCCGATCATCTTGAAGGGCCTTTCTAGGAGGCTGCCAGACCCCTGGCTTGGAGTGGGATTTAAAAAAAAAGATTTATTTATTTGAGAGAGAGTGAGAGAGAGCGCATGTGAGCACAAGCGCGTGGAGGGGCAGAAGGAGAGGGAGAAAGTCTTAAGCAGACTCCACACTGAGCATGGAACCTGATGCCAAGGCTCGATCTCAGCACCCTAAGATCACGACCTGAGACAAAACCAAGAGTAGGACACTTAACTGACTGTGCCTCCCAGGCATACCTGGAGTAGGTTTTTTTGTTTGTTTGTTTGTTTGTTTTTTAAAGATTTTATTTATTTATTTGACAGACAGAGATCACAAGCAGGCAGAGAGGCAGGCAGAGAGAGAGAGGGGGAAGCAGGCTCCCTGCTGAGCAGAGAGCCCGAAGTGGGGCTCGATCCCAGGACCCTGGGACCATGACCTGAGCCGAAGGCAGAGACTTTAAACCACTGAGCCACCCAGGCGCCCCTGGAGTAGGTTTTTGGATAGAGGCAACAAGGGCTGAAGACATGGGCAGTGGTGACTCCCACCTAGGGCATTGCTGGCACTGGGACTGCCTGTGTCTTAGAAAGGAAGAGGGTCCTCAAGAAACAGGTCCCCTTGTGTCCTGGATCCTTTTTCCAAGATTTCCAGAGAGATGCCAAGGTGGATGATGGGACAATGGCTTGGCTGCTGCTGGGGAGTAGCACAAGCCTGGGGCCAGGGTTAGGAGTCCAGGGCTCCAGCTGGGGCCTAGCTCGACTTGCTGCGTGACCCAGGAAGTCTCATGTTCTCTCTGGGCTACAGCATCCCCACACAGAGGACCTCTCCAGCCACTGCGGGAGTGCTCAATGGGGTCCTCAGAGTCTAACCAGGCAGAAGGAAAGGCTGCCACCTGGTGGCCACGGGGGGAATGGCGCTCAGATTGGAACAGATGGGCCTGGGAGCAGAGACTTCGCAGAGGCCTCTAAGCTAGTCCCCCAAGTCAGGTCCAATAACTCGGTGACCTCCTTGTTGAGTGTCACTCTTGGCTGACACAGCTCCCCAGGCTATTTGGAGTAGAAATGAATGAGAGGTGGTTTCTCACTGAGTCTCGGTTTCTCCACCTATAGGCTAGGGGGGACCCTGCCTGGACCTTGGACCTTCTGTAGAATGAGAGAATACTACTATCTACTTCATAAGTATCATGGATACTATAGAGAGTAAGTGAGTTAATGAGCAAAAGAGTTTAGCATAGTGCCCGCCACACAGTAACTGCTCAACGAACAGCTACTGTGATGAATTCAAAGGTGGTTTCTCAGTGGCTGGTGGCCCTGGGAAGGGGGAGACCAGAGGGAGTGGAGGATGGAGGGGACAGTGCCAACAATGATAGCGAATACCACCTGGGCCAGGCAAAATTCTGAGCACTCTCCTTATACTAACTCATTACATCCTAAAAAAGCCCCAAGCTGGCTACTATTACTATCCCAATTTAAAAAAAATTAATCACCGAGGGAAATCAAGCCTAACTTCAGCAAGCTGCCCAGAGCCCCGCAGTGAACAGATGGAGGAGTGTGGACTTCCTCCCACCTGTGTCCCTTCAGCCCTCATTCCACCCGGCCTTTCCCACTGCCAGGGGTCCAGAGCCTGGGTTTGGATGCCACGTGACACAGGTTTGGATCCTGGCTCTACCACGCGCTGGCCGCGTGGCACATAACCTTCATCAGCTCATGAGGGCCCCCGTGAAGAACTCGGCAGAGCCTGGCACATGGGACGTGCTCTGATTTCCAGTCGACGGTAATCCTGTCTGCTGGCTGTCCCCTCTCAGTATTACCCTCTTCGGGCCACAGTGACCAATCTCAGCCTTTATCCACTCTGATTCACTCTACGGCAGCTCACTACCCAATGTGCTGGGAGGAGGGCGCAGAGGCTGGCCTGCCTGGGGAATCAGAGGAGAGGGCCCCTGACACCTTATCACTCAACTGGTAAGGTGGGCACTGGGCCAGAACACCCAACATCCACCCCAATACTGTTACGTCTGCCCCACTACGGAGGTGCAGAAGCCAGAGCCCCTCTTTCCTAGACTCCTTGCGGTGGGAGCCACAGGACACTGATCTGGCCCATGAGATGAGAGCAGCAATCTGCCAAGAGGGTTCTGGGAAAGGTTCTGCCTTCCTGATGAAGGCAACAAGCATGGCTGGTATCTATGCTCCTCCCCCTTGCCACTCACATGCCTGTGCTACCTGGAGCAGCTACTGGCATCCTGAGATGGCTGCAGGTGAAAGGCCAAGGGTCACAAACATGCCCCTGCTGACATCGCTGGGGAGCACCTACCCCTGGACTGCTTGTGCATGTCACAACAAAGAAGCCCTATGTACGGAAGTCCCTGCTAGCCACAGTGGGAGCACTCGCCACGCATCCCCCCGGCACGTAGTACAGCCCCGCTCACCTGGGCATGCTTGAAGATGTGCATGATGAAGATGGTGAGGCCCAGGCCGAAGATGTAGGCTGCAAAGCTGGTGTAGAAGTAGGTATGGGTGTTCTTCTTTAAGCTTCAGGAAGGTGTGGGGAGAAAGAGGAGGAGGGTTAGTTGCAGGCATGGGAGGAGAGCCATCTCTTCGGAAGGGGGAGCTGGGGAAGACCCTGGAGGTGTGCGATGGCTGAAAGGCTGGTACTGGGCATGCATCCCGGGACTGTCCCAGCTATAGGTCTTTGGACAAGTCACTTTCCTTCCTTAGGCCTCCATTTATTCATCTGCAAAATGGGAAAACCGTGATCCATCCGCTCAGTGACTGTGAATATCAAGGGCCATAACCTAAAACAGTGGCTTTAAGACCTTAGCTAGCATACAAATCACCTACAGAGCTGACAAAAAAACCCCAAAACAAAAAATTCCAGGTCCAGTTCCCCAGGGAGTCTGACTGACTAGGTCTGGGGCAAAGTCCAGGAATCTGCATTTTGAGAAACCACCTCGGTGAAGCTACGAGTCACGCTTTGGGAGACCCTGATGCAGAAGCTGCACCGCTGACTTCCTCCTTCCCAGAGCAGTGGCGGTAACAGATCAGGGAACCTGTCGCACATGCTAAGTAGCTGCTGACCTCGTGGATAAAGTGCGGGGGGCTTCCGGGAGGCGAGCCATCGGAGAGCAGCCTCAGGGCCACATCGCACTGCCGTTACCAGACTCCCCTTCACCTCAGCTCTGTGACCTCTGTGTGTCCCCGGCACCCAGCACAATCCCCTCGCCCCGCCCCCTCCACCTCCGACCCCAGCTGCCGCTGAGCCCGGAGCTGCGGGCACACTGGGAGTTATGCTGCCGTGGAGCCTGGGGTGAAGCCGACCACGGTGGGCATGCGGCACAGATTCCAGAACCAGCTCGGAAAGGCTGGCCAATCCTGCCCATCCAGGCTAGAAATGAGGTTCTGCTTCTGAGAATGAGGTTCTCATTCTGCTAGGAATGAGGCAGCCAAACGTGACTTTGTGTCGCTAGCCAGTGGCCCAGGGACGCTCGTGGGCTCTCTTTGCGTCACCTCTGCACAGCCAGAAGTACAGCTGGCTGGCACAGACGTGCCTCTATTTACTGATTGGCCGGGTCCCTCCCAAAGGCTAAGCCCGTGGACGTAAGCAGAGGCAAGTTTCACAGACAAACCCGATTTCAGAGACACTGGTACAGTTTCTTGTTACCACTGTCAACACCATTACCGCTTTTGCAATTATGAGGCACAAGGAGATTAAGAATAAAGTTCACAAACCACCTTGAAATTCAGTGCACATTCTGTGAACCTTCCACTGGGAAGACCGCGCCACCTACTGGTGGCACGCCCAACTGCATTAACAGTGCAACCTTTCCTGTTGCAAGTGGTGACTCGAATTGGCCCCCTTACCACTCCGTGCTCAGTTTCCACAGTGGACTCCAAAAATCTGAGTGAGGGGAGCACGCAGGGAGCAGCCAGAGAAGCTGGGACACAGTGACCTGAGCCTGGGCTGATAATGCATGATGACGACTGGACTGCAGCTGGGTCTCCCTGTGGCCCTGTGCTCAGCGCTCCCTCCAGGTTTTCCTGGTAATGCCAAGGTCTGAGCTCTTGTTTACCACAAAAGTTAAGAATGAGAAACCTTAGCCCAGAAAGGTCAGATCACTTGCCAAGGTCACACAGTGAGAAAGCACTGTGAGTACCACTAGGACCTTCTGGGTTTAAATCCATTGTGAATATGATCCTTTTTTTCTTTTTGGCCACAGGGTCTTTGAACACTCAGTACGTCAAAGTGCAGATAAATCAGAATCGCACCGGCCACTGCGGCGGTGGAAGGTCTGATCAGAGGTCACCTCTTCTAGGCTCCGGAAAGCCACCAAGGAACCCCTGGGGTACCCTGCCCAGGGAAGACGCCCCACTCATGGAGCTTGAGGGCTAGAGTTTCCAAGTAGCTTACCTGATGTCAAACCGTAGCAGCAAGGCAATGAAGATCCCTGCGGGCAGAGAGCCAGGGTTAGTGGCAGGGAAGCCAGCACCTTGGGAAGGCCTGGGAATGGAGTCTCCCGCCTGGGATGGGGAGGAGGGGGGAGGAGTGGGGTAGTGAATGAACACTCAACCTGGTGTTCCCAGTCATGGAGCAGTCACTGGGGCCAACACTGCTGACCGCCAGCAGAAATCCTGTCTACCATCAGACCTCCTCAGAACAATAAGAAGGTCCCAGGAGTTAGCTTTGGTCTGGGACTACACTGACCTCATAGCACCCTACTGTGTCACACTGGGCCCATCTACCCAAATGTTTATGGAGGCCTTCTAAGTACCAGGCCCTGGAGACAACAGGAAGCAAAATCACTGCACCCACAGAACTCAACCAATGTGACGGGAGGTGGACATGGCGATCCAACAGGAACAAAATTTGCTCTGAGATCCTAACTGTGAAAGGGTGCTTTCTATGTCATGGGTAGGTATATGTGGGGATATGCCAGGCGAGGGGACATGGGGGGGAAGAGGAAGAAGGGCTTCTTTAAGGAAGTGACGCTTGCCAGGGAGCGGGAACAGCACATGCAAAGGTCCTGAGGGAAGAGGGGTTAGGGTGTGGCATGCGTCAAAGAGCCAGGAAGGAGATGCAGGGGATGGACCAGCCAAGTGGGGCTGTGGGGCACAAGGAGGAAATGGGTTTCTTCCCTGAGTGAGGGAACACATGGAAGAATTCCAAGCAGGGGAACAACCTAAACAGATTCTGGGAACAGGCCTCGTGGCAACTGCTTAGTTGGAGGGCGGAGGAGGGGCAAGCAGACCATCAGGAGGCTCTGCGGGAGGGCGGGGGAGGATGACTCACTCTGCCCACCCACTGCACCCCTACTGGCACTTCCAACCCCAGCCCAGGCACCCCAAAAGCCCAAGACTCTCCAAGACACAGCTGGCCGGGCCAGCCTCTGTCTGCTACTCACATACGACGACCGTCTGTGTCTGTCTCCCTGCTGGTCTCAGGGCTCAGACAGGGCAAGGGCTGAGCTGATCAGAAGCACTGACTGGCAGCGTAGGACTTCTTTTATTTTATTATTTATTTATTTCGAAAGATTCTATCCCTAAGCAAGCTGTATACCCGATGTGGAGCTTGAACCTACAACCGCGAGATCAAGAGTTGCACGCTCCACTGAGCCAGCCCGGCGCCTCAGCAGATGACTCATGTTCAGTTGGGAAGTGAGGGAGTCTCCCCCAGAGACCTGGGAACTGTGAGGAGGGAGTGGGTGGCTGGAGAGGGAAGACAAATGCCACCTTTCTGGAAACAAAGCTGGGGACTCAGCATCCCCCCGGCGGACGAATTCTACAACTGGTCTCCAACTCAGGGCCTTTACCGCCTGTCAGGCACCTGGTCCTCACAGCAACGCTCTGCGGCAGCCCATTCTTTGAGGGGGTGCCACTGGGGTGCTGCGAGGGTGCAGTCAACTTTCAGCTACTGAAATCACTGGAAGACTTAGATATGTAGGTACACGCAGGGGTGTCCTGTGCACACCCCAAGTCCAGAACTATGACCACACAGGATACTGGGGAAGCTGTGGGGGTGCCTGGCGCAGCCCATGCCCTGCACAGCGAGCTGGCTGCTTTCCAGGACTCGACTTCTTCTGCCCGACGGAGCTGCGCACCCCCTGCCCCGGCCTCACAGCCCTGCGAGTTAGTTATGGAGAGTCTTGGGTTCAAGACCATCTCCCCACATGCCCAGGAACTTGAGCAAGTCTTTTTGAGCCTCAGTTAGCTCATCTGTAAAATGGAAATACCTTTACCTCACTGGGCTTCGAGGAGCAGCAAATCAACAATGTAGGAGAAGCAGCTGGCCCAGCAGGTGCCCGAGAGCCACGGCAGCTGCGGTGACCACCTGCCTACTGCTGCCATTGCTGTTACGGGCCATTCCTGACAGGGAAGGCTTTTTCTGCAGATGGGTGACCTGGGCTGGGGCCTTGCTAGTGCATGAAGCTAAGAAAGTCCCTTTACTTCCAGGCCTCAGTTTCCTCGCTGGTAAGAGATCACCTCTCCTTCACGGCCACACAACACCAAAGTGTCGCAAGGGAAGTGGCTGTGCCACCATCCCAGAATATTAGAACTGCCATCGTTTCTTAGAGTGAAACATAGGTTGGCTTTTCATTTGCTCTGCACTTTCTGCTTTTAAGCAAGCACCAGGGGTGCTTCTTGTCCTTGGACTTTGAGCCTCTGGACTACAGGAACAAGTGTGCCCTTCGGATACCTGCCACCAGGCCCGGATCTGCAGAGACACACATCCCGGATCAGCCATAGCAGCGGCCCGCAGAGCAGCAGCTCAGCTTTGCCCCGAGGCTTTGGGCTGGCAGCTGAGGCTGCCCCAGGGTCAGGCCAGGCTTCGGGCCCCCAGGGCTGTGTGCCCGGAGCCCAGGTGCACCGACGAGCACCCACATGTGGACAGCTCTGTGGTCTGCTCCCGTGGACAAGCCCTTTGCCGAGAGGACAGGAGTGCCCGCTCGTGGTGCCCCGCGTCCGTGCACGCAGGCACGCTGTCCCTGGGACCGGGGAGGAGGACCCTGGGGACGGTGGCAGTCCCAGCGGATAGGTCCTACTCAGAAACACTGGCAAGGGGCAGGCACGTGCATGAAGGCTCATGAGATGTGCTTCTCACAGAATGTACTTCAGTCTGTCACAGACACTTCTTTTAGCTGTTCTGGAGTAAGGACTATTCAGTCAGACCAGAAGCTCTGTGAAGACGGTCTTGCTCACTGCTGTCCTCCCACGCCCCCACCACCCATCCCCCCGTCCCAGCTGCCCAGCTCAGCACCTGGCATGTGACTGGTGCTCGACCATGGGCTGACACGGGGCTGTCTGGAATCTCCGTCGCTTCCCCACTCCCAGTGGTGATGCTGCATCGCAGTACTCCTCCTCCTCCTACCCTCTCTCCCCCCCTCCTCCTCTCAGATCCTTCCAGCACTCGCACTGGGGCCCCCACCCCGGCCCGCTCACCCGGAATGACGATATCTCCGAGTCCCAGCATGGCAAAGTTGTCCGCTTCGAGGCCCTTCTCCAGCAGGTCCTGGGGAAACACCACTGTGGGGGGAGGCAGGGATGCGAGGAACTGGTGAGAGGCGAATTCAGACAGTCCATCCCCCCACCTCTGTTGCATGAAACGCACACACCTGCATTTAAAGATGGGTGAGCGTGGAGGCAAAAGGACGGGGACAGGCTGAAGGACAAAGTCTCCACCTGGAACCACAGTAGGTTAGAGGGGGACGAATCTAGGGTCACCTAGATCAAACGCTGCCTGCCTTTATGGTGCTAGGACTCACACAACATACCACTCCAGTGCTCTTTGGTAGCTATGGAAGCCTCTGGTGATGTGGGATTGACCCTAAAGTCACATGGATGAAAGAGACCAAAGAGCCCACATAGTGCTGACATCTACTTGGCTTTCCATCTCACTCTGGCGAGGGTGGGGACAGGTGGTGGCCTTGCTCTGCGGCAAAGGGGAGCCTGGGCTGGAGGCCCTTCCTGGATGTGCCAAACTCCTACAAACTCCCTACATAGAGCCCCTCACTCAGAGATCATGCTGGCCTACTCGTTTAGACAGTCAGTCATGGATGGACAGAGATGCCTCCTCTGTGCCCGGTTAATGGCAAGAGGTGGTGGAACTGGATCTCATCCATAGTGCCTTGCTGTTTTTTTCTTTTTAATATTTATTTGAGAAAGAGAGCTAGAGAGCACAAGGGAGAGCAGGGAGGTGGAGCTGTCCAGGCGCCCCTCCATAGCACCTGTGAACAGAAGAGCACTTAGGTGCGGGCTCCAAGGTGAGACTGCATGGGTCTGAATCTTGGCTCTGCTCTGTGACTTTGCACAGGTTACTTAGCTGCTCTGTGCCTCAGTATTCTTACCTGTGAATGGGTACAAGAGAACTGACCCCCAAAGAATTGTGAAAATCAAGATGATTTGCACACATTGTTAACTGTCACCCCATGCCTTCTTTATCAACCCAGTTCTGACTTGGGGTGCAGCAGCCTTCCCAGGGAATGGATCCAGTGGCACAAGACTGGGGCAATCTGGACAACCCTGGCCCCTGAATTCCCGACTTCCTTTCCAGCTAGGGGTGGCCATATGACCCAGTTCCGGCCAAGGATACGTAAGCAGAGGTACGCCAGGGGTTCTAGGTGAGCCTGTGCCTCCCTAATGAACACACAGATACCCTTCCCCACCTACTTCTTCCTGCCCTGAGTGCCCAGTTACTGTGATTTACAGATCCCTGCATTCGACCTTCCCAGTCCTGGTACCATTCAATTCTAAGAGGTGGATGTGAAAACCAGGGCCCAGAGAGGTGAATGAAGATCTTGCCTAAGGCCACCCAACCAGCTGAGATTCCAATCCAGGCAGCCCAGCTTAAGCACTCTTGCTATCCTGCTTGAGCACCACGCCTAGCAGATGAGGGCAATGGGCCCTCTCCCCACACCAGAACCCAAGTTTGACAGTGTCACTGCCCTCTTCAGAGCCTTCCAATGGCTCATTCACTGCCCCCTGGGCAGTCCAGGCTTCCTGGAATGATACTCTTGGCTTCCCAAATCCGGCCTCTTTTCTGCTGCTCTCCTAAACTCAGCCATGTTCCCTCCCCAACCCTCTGCTCCCAGGGCCCTCTATGCCTTTCCCTGCCTCTGCCCTTCGCCGAAGCCCTGTTCCCCCTTTCAAAGGCCTGCCCCGCCCCTGCCTCTTTGGTGAACACGTGTTCTTTATCCTTCATGAACGCTTTCCTGGAACCCGGGCTGGCTTCATCTATCATGACACGTGGGGACCAGGGGCTGCCCTGGCTGTCCCAGCACCTGTTCTCCTGCCACAGAACAGCCTTGCTTTTACACCCCTGGTTCTGGGGGGCTGCCAACTCAAATACTCTGCTCGCAGATACCGAGGAGGGCCGTGACCCAGGCCTGTCCATTGTGATCCTCCGTCTCCCCAGCAGAAGGGCCTGGCTCATGGGCCCATTGGTTTATTCAAACCAAAGCTGGCAGAAACTTGTTTCCCTCCAGTCACTGAGCTGGGACCATCGCACCTGGGAGCAGTGTGCATCCAGAAGTGTCTGTCCAGCTCACGGAGGCCCATCTGCAGCAGCAGCAAGACTTTGAGGACAACAGCTCGCTCTCGATCCTCTGAGGCCAGCTTCACCCTGGCTGCCCAGTGCCCATGGTGCTTGCTTCCCAAGACCAAAGCCTTGCCAACAAGACTCTCCCCTTACTTCTTGCTATCAGCCTGACTCATTCCATCCTCTTCTTTGGGTCTTGTAATCCCAGAGGGGACCCTTGAGTGGTCTGAGCCTTAAACTCAAACCTAATCATGCTTCCTCCCCCGCCGCCCCCAATACCAGTTTGGGTTTGGGCCTGTGGGGGAAAAACTCCTTCTCTACTGAGGCATGAAGTTCCTTCTCTCTGCCTCTGGGCATGGCTGAGTGAGGAGTCAGTACTAGGAGCTGTGGCAGCTAGCTTGGGACCACGAGGCAATGAGTTGCAGGGACAGGTGGCCGCGCTGAAGATGGTGGGGTGGACACTGAAGCCAGCCAGCTCTTGGTGACTGCACTTGGTGAGGGTCGGTAATGCACGGCTGAGACACTGTGCCGCGGGCCTGCTACAGAGAGGGATGATACTTCTGTGCTGCTTACTGATGCCTAGATGCCCATCACTGGATTTTCTCATCTTTATAAACAACGGGTAGCTACATGGAAGAACAAAACCTGAGCCATGTGAGGGGTGCGGGACAGACCATGCTGGCTAGCGCGCCCAGTGAGCGGCTTTGGGCCTTAGTGTGGAACCTCCTTTCCTGGAGAGCCCCCACGGGCCCCGCTGCAGGCCCTGTTAGACAGCCCTGCTGTCTCCTCCCATCACACACTACACTGGGGCCAAGCGGCAGGACGCCAGGGCCTGGGCAGTGTGGTTGCGTGTGAACACAGCCAGATGAATCAAAAGAGGGGACGGAAACCAGGCTGGAGGCACAGGACAGCGTGGAGAAGGAAGAGATGCGTGTGGAAGAGCCAAGGGAGAGGTATGGACCAAAACAGGGACCACGAGGGGGGAAGGGCCATGAGGTGGAAAGAGAGGGGCTCCCCACAGTGGATGTGGTCACTTACATTTTATTGGTGCCTCAAAGGACTTGGCCACTGTCACCATCACGTTGGTGCCAAATACCTAGGAGGAGAAGACAGGAGTCTGGAGGGAGGTGAGGGCCAGACGGGAAAGGAACACTGTCCTAGGAACTCCTTTTCTTTTCTTTTTTTTAATCTTATTTTTAAAAGATTATTTATTTATTTATTTGACAGAGAGAGATCACAAGTAGGCAGAGAGGCAGGCAGAGAGAGAGAGGGGGAAGCAGGCTCCCTGCTGAGCAGAGAGCCTGATGCAGGGATCGATCCCAGGACCCTGAGATCATGATCTGAGCTGAAGGGAGAGGCTTAACCCATTGAGCCACCCAGGCGCCCCTCTCTCTCTCTTTTTTTTTAAAGATTTATTTTAGAGAAAGAGAGAGGGAGAGCACCTGGGGATGGGCGGAGGGAGGGAGAGAGAGAGAGAAACTCCAGAAGACTCCTTTCTCAGCTCAGAGCCTGATGTAGCCTCGCTCTCAAGGCCCTGAGATTATGACCTGAGCCGAAACTAAGAGTCAGATGGTTAATTGACTGAGCCACCCATGTGCCCCCGTCCTGACACAATGCTGCCTGAGACCCACAGGGACAGGGGCAGGGAGTGATGAGGTGCTCCAGATTAGATGTGAAGCTGAGATTAGGTGGCTACTGATTTTGGTCATAGGGATACCTCGTGGGACTCCTGGTTCTGGGCAATAAACAGGGCAATTTGAAGGAGCTGGGAAAGGGCCTTTGATGGCCCAGGCTGGGTCTCCTGTATGTTCAGGGCTCTGCTCCTCCTAGGAGATGAAGTCCTCCAGCACCATGAAGTCCTCCAGCACTACCCACTTAAGGGGGAAAGAGGCTGCCTGAGGCCAGGGAAAGGTGCCGAAGTTGGGCTGTCCTTGATCCCTCAGTGATGGCTGTTGGGAGTGAGCGTGGCATGTGAGGGGCCGGTGTGTGCCAGAATGTGCTGCCCCCCAGCAGCCTCTGTCCTCCAACTGGTGCCTGCACTGGGCCCATTCACCAGTATTAACCTCCTCTGCCTCAACTTCTCTGGGTCCCAACTTGCTTGCCAGAAAGAAAGAGGAAAGGAACAGCTCTGCCAGGACCACTGGGAGAAGAAGTGAGGGTGGCTAGAAGGCCTGGGGCACAGGGTGGGCTCTCAGCCATGTGGGGAATCTGCTCTCTCATTTGTTTCACAGATGAGGGCAAGTGGGCCAGAGAAGACCTGCTCTGGGGTCTTAATTTCCAGGCTGAGGCAGTCGCCTTCCATCAGATGACTGCCGCAAGACAGGGACAGAGGAGACAAGCAAACCCCCTTAAAAAATAATTACTTATTTATTTGAGAGAGGGAGAGAGAGCACAGAGGAAGAAGACTCCCCACTGAGCAGGGAGCCTGATGTGGGGCTTGATCCCAGGACCCTGAGATCATGACCCGGGCCGAAGGCAGATGCTTAACCAACTGAGCCACCCAGGCGCCTGGCAATGGGCCCTTTGTGCCCCAGCCCCACTCACCCAGAAGACATCGTAGATGAAGAGTCCACCCAGCAGGATGCAGCCAGTGCTGACGTTGTTCAGGTGCAAGAGCTCCACCCCGTTAAGGGAGAAGGCCAGGCCAAAGAGATTGTTGGCAATCCAGTGCTGGGGAAAGGCAGGAGTGAGATCGGCTGTCTGTCTACCCTGCCCCCTCGTCCTCTCTCATGCTCCCCTCATCCTGCCCCCGGCCCTGGCTCCTTACCTTCCTCAGCAGGTACCAGACGCCAACGATGCTGCTCAGGCCCAGGCATACCAGGTCCTTGGCGTCAAACTCATAATTGATGATCTCTGGGCAGAGAGGCCGGGTAAGTCCACTCCCCGGGGCGGGGCTGCCCCTCCCACCTGTCAGCCCCTGGACGGAGGAGGGCATGGCTGTGGGCACTGTCAGAGCCTCCCCAGCACCCCCTCCCCGCCCCGATTTCCTAGAGGAGGGCCTGGAGGCCCAGAGAGAACACAGGCCTGGTGCGGGGTCAGTGGGAGATGGTCCATGGTGTCAGAAGCATGGACTCTGCATTTGTAGCTGGGTGACCTTGGGGGAGGCAGTTCCCTCTCTGAGCTTTAGTCTCCTCCTCTGTAAAAAGGGGACTGCGGCACCTCCCCCACAGGGCTGCTCTGGGGAGCAAGGGAAGTGGTCCTCACGAAACACTCAGCACAGTGCCTGGCACACAGTGGGTGCTCATCAATGCCAGCTGCTACCCAGGTCTTTAGCTAGGTCCCAGTCCATTCGGGAATCTTCCTACTTTGCCATCAAAGGAAAGCAAGAAGGTTGCTGGCAGCCCTACATCACCAGCAAAAGAGGAAGAGGAAGGTGACAGTTGGAGCCCTGGAGAGAAAGCAGGAGGGAGCCCCTGTGTTCTCCTGAGGGGGGCCCTGAGGCAGACATTCCCTATCACTTCCAAGTTTCCCAGTGAGGAAGCCCAGGAAGGTGGTGGGGCTTGCCCAGGGTGAGAGAGCGCAGCCACTTCTTTCAGATTCCAGAGTGGAATGGACTGCTGGTTGGCCCCAATTTTTGTTCTCTCTTCTCTGGTGATGGCATCCTGGGGAATTTTTTTTGGTTTTTAATTCAAGTTAGTTAACATAGTATAGTATTATTTTCAGGAAGCACCTTGGTGATTTTTAACTGGATGTGAAGCCAATAGGCTCATGGCCACTTCTTCTGACGTGCCCTATAGCTAAACGGACCCATGATATGGTGACAGTACACCATTCTGGGCCCAAGAGTCACCCGAATGTGACAGAGCACAAGACAGATGGAGCCTTGGACCTCAAAGACTCTGTGGTGCAAGCTTAGCTTTTTTTTTTTTTTAAAGTTCAACAATCATCTCTTAGGCACAGATGCATTTGAGATGCGAAAAGGAATGACTTAAAGTCACCCCTCTCTGGGAATAAGGCAGAATGTGGCAGGCAGCCGTAAGAGAGATGACATTCCCAAGCTCAGACTTTGATGCAAGAAATACTTTTCATTTGGTCAAGCCCTCGCCAATCGTGTTACAGCACCAGTACTCCTATCCGAACCAACCCCCAAAGCCCAGGCTTTTCCTAAGATCCCAGAGTTTTTGTTTTTTCATTTTTTTTTTTTTTAAACAAAGAAGCCCTGTTCCAGGTCTCAGGTGGGAGAGTCATCACATTACATACAGGTATGATACAAGTTGCTACGCCGGCCAACATCACCGCGTGCTGCCGCGGGCCAGGCCGTGTGCTGAGTGCGCCCCTCATCACTGACCCCCAGTCCTAATAACGTGCTGTGAGGGAGGTACCAGATGTATCGTTTTCATTTTACAGCTGGAACAAACACAACAACTCGGAGAGGTAAAGGCATTCACCCAGAGCCCCCCGTGTAGACAGCAGCAGAGCTGGGTTCCCACCCAGGCAATGTGACTGCAGAGCCCACCTTTTCCATCCCTTGCTCTAGTGGAGAACCCTGATATTGGAGACAAAGGGGAAGAGAGGTGAGCGAACCCCAAGGCCAGGGAAAGCAGGCGGCACTGACCTTCCTTGTTCTCCCCAGAGCCCTGTGTGAAGAGCAGCTGGTATTGTCGATTTGGAAAGTTGGCTGGAAAAAACTTATTCATGAAGGGGCTGGAAGGAAAGACAAAGCAGGTCGGCAAACAGGACCCCCATGGGCTACCGCAGCCCCAACACCATCCCAGAAGTGCCCATTCACAGGTCCTTCCTCCCGGCACCCTCGCAGTTGCCCTTTCGGGGAGTCCTCTTGATGGGGAGGAGTTACCAGCCCTATTTCACAGATGGAAACGGAAGCCCTGAGAGAGTAAGGGACTGCCCAGGGCTGACTCCCCATCTGAGCAGGGACTCAAACACAGGTCTCTGGAATCCTAGTGCTTCCACGCTGCCTCTTGGTTCTCGTCTAAGAAACACAAAGCTGGGCCAGACTTCCATGTAAAATGCAGCTTTAGAACAGGAACGGATGCCAGAGTCTGGTCCGTGCACGCTCTGAGTCCCTTGTCAAGAATGCATATTCCTTGACTCTTCCACACCTATTAAGTCAGATGATCTGATGGTTACTGCTTACCAGGCCTGACGAGTCCTGAGTGTTTTATAAACTCAGCTGGACTCAATCAGCTCGATGAATCACAGCCCCGAGGTGGAGGGGGGAGGAGCACCTCACATCCACTCCTTCCAAGAGGCCTCCGCTGCTCAGGATGGGCTAGCCTCATCTCTGGAAAATGGTCTCAGATCACCTGGTGTACTCTGTGCCTTGGCCAGGCAGGGAACAGAAACTTTCTTTTCTGGATCACTTTCAGACAAAGATGAACAAATTAGGGCCTCCTGGCCCAGCCTGGCCCTGGGGGCAGCTCAGCCCAGAAGACTACCCTGCCACATGCTAGTGGTGTGGCTGTGGGCGAGTCACCGCAGTGGCTCATCTCCTTAGCTCTACGTGGGAGTAACAATACCACCTGTCTCAAACCATTGCTGTGAAGGTAAGTGAGAAGGCAGGGGAGAGGCTTAGCCCAACTCTGGACCCACAACAGGGATGTAAATAAGAACTCTGAGCGTCCGTCAATGCTGGCACTTGTCCAGAGCCTGAGCTCAAAAGCATTTGGCAACACTGGATCAGCCTGACAGTGACTGATGAGGTGGGCAAATCCAGAATGGTGCTCCCAACTGGTAGGTAAACGGAGGCAGGCCAAGAGGTACCCAGGGCACAGCAGAAAGGCAGGGAAAGAGAGCTTCCTTTCTAAGACCCTGGTGGTTGGAGAAAGAAGATGAGGAGTTAAGAATTATTCCAGGGCCTGTTTCCCCACTTGTCAAGCAGGTTCCCCGTCTACAGGGCTGTGGCACAAACAAGAGAGCCCTCTGAACCCAAATGTGGCGGGCACAAGTATGCAACCAGGAGTGGGCTTCCACAGGAGGGCTCTGAGAAGTGGGGGGCAGAAGCTGGGAGAGATGAGGCTGGAAGCTACCTTCAGCTCAGTTTGCTGAATCACTTCTGGGAGATCCTGAAGCCAGAGCGTGTGGGCAGAGACAGAGAAAAGGCCCGAGGATCTAAGGCCTTCACTGCAGACCGGCCTCTTCCTTAGGAGCTTGATGTTTCATTTCTGAACCAGCAGAGCGCAGTGGCTCCGGAACCAGACTTCGTGGATTCAAATCCTGACTCTGCCACTGATTAGCTGTGTGATCTTCGGAAAGTTACTTAACTGTTCTGTGCAACTGTTTCCTCATTTGGAACACTACAATAAGATCTTCCTCTTAGTTATTAAGATGATTAAATGAATGCTTGGCAGCCTGTAAGCTTAACTACCACTCTGACTTCAGGGAAGAACTCTCTGGACTGGTGACTTGGTTATCCTGAGCAAAGAAGGGTCGCTGGATAATGCAGGGCAAGAGTCAAGCAACCTGGCCGGTGAGCCTGAACTTGAGAGTGGGGGCCCGTCTCACCACCTTCCCCCACCCATGGCAGGCCTGGAGCCTGGGCGGCAGCTGGTAAATGCTCACGGAGCGCCTCTGAAGGCAGACCTCTGCAGCAGGCAGAGACTCTCTCCAGCCCTCACGGCTCACATCAAACCTAAAGGTCACTGCTTCCTGCTGGGACACATCCTGGTGTCCTTCTCCCCTGGGAGTGGAAAGCAAGGGTCGATAAAACTGATCTTTTCTTCCTAGGGTGGTAGGTTTTGACCTTATGGGTCCTTTTCCCTCTAAAGGTCAGCTGGATGGGGTATGAGCTCAGAGATGATAAAAATAAGCTGAGGTTCCCTTGGCAGGAAGGCTTCTGGTGTGGGCTTGTAAATCTTGGTGGCTGCACAAGGTGAAGGCAGGCGGCAGGCTGGGGGGTGGCAGCAGGGGTGGAAAGATCCACGAGAATCCCCACCAGGGGCTGACTCGGCTGGGGGCCAGGCTCTTCCAGTCCCTCGTCAGGTCTGTTCCCCCAGTCCTCTGGGGACCGAAGGACTGCTGGGAAGCAGTGGCCAGCCCACCCTCTATAATCTGTTTCCCCCTCACTCCTGCCAAACTGGGGAGAATATGGGCCTTGAAGTCAGACATACCTTGGCTCAAACCCCCTGCCTCTACCAGCCATGAATCCTGGTGGTTACACAACCCCTCAGGGCCTCGCCTTCCCTGAACCCCACCTTCGGACCCTCTGGTTTGGATTCTGACGGAGGTCTGCCTCCAAGTTTGTGAATATAAACAGCTCATAGAAATTCTAACTATACTGTAGACTTTCGTTGAGAAAGTATTTCAGAAAACCCAATCTGACTGAAAAAGAAAAATGTTTTTGGCTCAGCTTTCCATATACCATGATTAAATTATGCTTTCCTCCCTTTTTGCTCAAATTATGTGCATCTGATTCAGTTTTTCTCCATGTAAATTTTTCAAAACAATTTCTCTCATCCCACCATTTTTGGTCTGTATGAAATTTTTCACAGGACAGCTCTGATGCTGTGTGGTGAGTGCCCCTCCTGCCCATGGTTACTACTGTATTTATGAGGTCTGATTTTGCCAGGTCAAATATTGTGCTATAAATTTCATCAAGAAGATGATTCTTCTGTTAAGTTTTAGTCACTAATCTATTTTACCATGTGCAGTTTCAGTTGCTATTGGTTCTCTGTCAATAATTTCTACCAGTTGGGGCGCCTGGGTGGCTCAATGGTTTAAAGCCTCTGCCTTCGGCTCACGTCGTGATCTCAGGGTCCTGGGATTGAGCCCCGCATCGGACTCTCTGCTCTGTGGGGAGCCTGCTTCCTCTTCTTTCTCTCTCTGTCTGCCTCTCTGCCTACTTGTGATCTCTGTATGTCAAATAAATAAATAAAATCTTTAAAAAAAATTTAAATAAAAAAATAATTTCTACCAGTCAAAATTATGAATTAGTTAAAAAAGACAGATAAAATACACTGGGTTCTCTGAGGTGGTGGTTGGGTAACGGGGAGGCCCGGGAATCTCAAGCCTCTCACAGATGAAGGGGTGGGATGGATGAGAATTAGGGGGACCCTAATCAGCATGGGGAAGGATGGGTCCCAGTGCTTGGAAGCGACTGCCCCACCGTCCCCCAGATCCATCAGAGAGCTCTGCCCTGTGAGGTTGGGTCTGCCACGGTTTTGTGAGGTCCAAGTCACTCAGGTAGGTTCTCTAGGCCTTCATTTTTTAGGACGGGGGCTGGACTAAAATTCTTATCAGATGGCCAGAACAAGACTGTATGGGGAAAGGGCAGGTAAAGTTGAAGACAACACTGAACTCAGTCAAAAGACCAGAATTCCAGTCCCAGCTGTATGATCTTGGACCAGAAACACAACTCATGGCGCACCTGGTACAGTGCCTGAGCCATGTTATAGTCGTGGCTCACCTGATCCTTCCCACGCCCCAGTGAGGAGGTGCTCGCAGTGTCTCCATTTTTGTTTTTTGTTTTTTTTTTTAAGTGTCTCCGTTTTATAGGAAATGATGCTCAGAGGCCTTGAGAAGCTTACACAAATTATTGAGCTGGCAGAGCTAGGCCTCGGTTCCAGGGCCAACATCTCCTGAACCCACGCTCTTGAGTACCACAATGTCCTGCCAGTGTGCCTAGGGAAATAAGGTCAAATCCAACTGGCTTTTTTTTTTTTTTTTTAAAGATTTTATTTATTTATTTGACAGAGATCACAAGCAGGCAGAGAGGCAGGCAGAGAGAGAGAGAGGTGGAAGCAGGCTCTCCGCTGAGCAGAGAGCCCGATGCGGGGCTCGATCCCAGGACCCTGGGATCATGGCCTGAGCCGAAGGCAGAGGCTTTAACCCACTGAGCCACCCAGGCGCCCCTCCAACTGGCTTTTGATGCCTTTTGTGAACAGGCCTGGCGCTTCCTCTCTGACTACTGCGGAAAGATCCCTAATGCGCTTTTACTGCGCACAGATCTTCTACTCCTAGCTTTCCCCTCTCCTTCGTGTCTCTTCTAGGTTTCCCACCCTTCAAGGCTGACTTTTAGCTGCGTTCCTTCCTTCTGGGAACCTCCATAGTCTACTGGCCACCTTATGGTCAGTGGTTCTCAACCCAACACTGTATCCACCTGAAGGGACCAGATGGAAACAGGCGGGGAAACTTTTGTAGTCACAAGTTAGGGGGCAGACTGGGGACATAATTCTCATTTAGTAAACAGGGCTAGGGAATGCCAAATGTTTACAACACATGGAGAATTGGCCTGTCCATGACAGAAGAGCAGCACTCCTTCAGGGTCCCGGCCTAGGTCCTTCATCCCCACTGGACAGACACAGCACGTGCCTGTCTGAGCAGGTGGCAATGGGAACATGGCTCTGGGGCCACTCAGACCTGGGTTTGAATCTTGGCTCTGCTGCTTATCCATTGTGCGATCTTGACAAATTCCTTCATCTCTTTGAGCTTCAGTTTCCAAAGATAACAGAAGATTTAAAGCAAAAGCTAAGGGCGCCTGGGTGGCTCAGTCATTAAGTGTCTGCCTTCGGCTGGGGTCATAATCCCGGGGTCCTAGGATCGAGCCCTGCATTGGGCTCCCTGCTCAGCGGGAAATCGCTTCTCTTTCTCACACTCCCCCTGCTTGTGTTCTCTCTCTTGCTGTCTGTCTCTGTCTCTCTCAAATAAATAAATAAATACATACATACGTACATACATACATAAATAAATAAAAGCAAAAGCTAACCTTGTAAGTTACCTGGCAGGTTAGCACAGGAAGTAATAGTAACGACGACAGTTAACAGTTATTGGACACATTAGGTGTCAGATACTGGGCTAAAAGCTTTCCCATGACCCATGAGGAAGGTTCGGTTATTTTCCTCCACATTCGGCTGAGGAAATTGAGGCCAGAGAGATTAAGTGACTTGCCCCAAGTCACAGGGCTATTAAGTAGCAGAGTCTGGATTCAAATTCAGGTAATCAAATTCCAGAGGCTGTACTCCTAACTTCTCACTCTACTGCCCCTCTCTCAGCAGGAAACAAGATCATGCGTGAGAAGCCGGGCTTACCACGAGGTGCCAGCAGCCTATAACACCTGGCAAGTGGCGCTGCTGTTACCCGTCTCAGCACCGTGACAAGTGACATCCTGGTACTATGATGTGATTAACCTTCCCAACAACTGTGGTGGTGGGAAACACCCCCTGGATACTCTTGTCAGTCCTTGGGAGGGGACTGTGCCACAGAGGTTACAGGTCTTGTTCTAGCTCACCCACGCTGTACTGCAGGGGAAAGGAGCCCTTGGGTTGTACAGCCAGGATTCAAACCTGGCTCTGAATGACGCCAAAGGTCATGTTCTCATCCAGGACCCTGTACTGGCTCCTGAGAAAGCTGCTTCAAATGTTGCAGAGATGCCTTCTGACCTGATGGTGTGGGACAGGGCCAGGATCCCCAGCACGAAGAAATACATGGACAGCAAGAGGTTGATGTACTCCTGGGAGAATATCTGAGGCAGAAATAAAAAAAGAAACAGGAAGTCAGGGTTGCTCATGGCTATGGGGAAATCAGAGTCCCTGTTTCTCTTCTGGAGGTTGGTCTCATCCCTCTGGAGCTAGGGAACGGTGGGAGGAAGAATCTCAGAGAGTGCTAGGGGCCTTCTAGCTTCTGTGGCTACAGAAGAAAAGGGAGGAACCTCAGGCCCCCGGAGGGACACCCAATGGAGTCTGTGTGTGCCTGGTAGCTCCATTATCTGGAGACAGGCAATACTATGTCTGTGCTCAGAGTCCTGGCATGGAATCATGGGGGAGGACAGTCCTGAGTGCAACCCCCCAAGGGAGCCTCAGAATGCACTCTTCCAAGTTTCCTTCTCCCTGCTCAAAAATCTAGGGAGCCCCCTATGGTGGCTACCAAGGCCCCAAGCACGCTACTTGTAAGTCGCTTGTGCCCTGCCCCATCATCTACATGATGGTCTTCTGGAGGACTCGTCCCATGGTGATGGCTAGAAGCTGTGACAGGAGACCCTGCCTGCTGCTGCTTCTCAGTCTTATTGTCAAGTGGAACTGGAATATGTTCTCTTTCGTGATACTCCAAAGCTGCCTGTCATTGCTGGGAATCCTGGACTCTGGGGAAGGCTCTGCCATCTCCTTCCGTAGTCATCCTCTCCTTCCTGAGTTTGCTCTCCTGAGGGTCTCTGGCTGGGGGCGGGATTCATGTGCTATGGTATGGGGCACAGGAGCACCGGGTGCTCTCAAGGAGGCCGTTACAGAATCTGTTTAAAGCCTGTCTGCCCACACTGCTCCCCTGCTTAAAGCCTCGCCTGCACAAGCTCAAGGCCCACACCCTCCGCGGGCCTCAGCCCCTGCGATGGCCACCGCAGACCTCAGCTGTGGCTCACAGCACGCTGGGGCCACACCAGCCTTTCTGAGGGCCCTGTCTGTGCCACAGCCCCACCACTAGGCAGCCGGCCTGCGCACATGCTCTTCTGCTGCCCTGGACATTTCCCCACCCTTCTCTCTTCGACTCTCAGCTCAGAGCAGCCTTCCTTGATACAACCACCCCTCATTAACTCAGCTCACGTGTACTGACTGTCTACCACATTAACGGCATCGTGTGAACTCTGGGGACACAGCAAGAAATGAGGCATCAAAGTCCCTGCCCCCATGGAGTTTATGTGCCAGCAAGAGAGAAAGAATCTCAAAAGATACACGTATGTAATATATTGTCAAGTGGTGATGGGTCCTCAGAAGAAAAGCAAAGCAGGGCAAAGAGACAGAGAGAAGAGGGGAGAGCTGCTCTTTTAGACTGGTGGTCAGTGAAAGTTTCTCAATGGGAAGATACTCACCTTGTTCAGGAATAGAACCTTAACAAAGCGAGGGAGCCACCGTGAGGGTATTCGAGGGGGGGAGCACTTAGGGCAGAGAGAAAGGTGAGTGCAAAGGTCCTGAGGTGGGTATGTTGCTTATGTATGTGGGGAAGAGTCAGGGCCTATGAGCCTAGAGCTGAGAGAGGAAGGGGCCGGTGTCAGGAGATGTGGCTAGGACTGTTGAGAGGCAGAGAGACCCGACAGTGCCATGAGAAAATCTAGATTCCTCTGGTGAGTCAGGCCAGTACTGGAGACCAAGGGCAGGGCTGTGACATGACTGGACGGCCTGAGAGGATTCCTGTGCTGCTGTGTGGGAGACAGACTGCCCAGGGCGAGGGTGGAAGCAGACAGCCCAGTGAGGAGGGTACTGCAGACTCTGGCAGACAGAAGACGGTGCCTTTGACTGCAAGTGCAGGGAGGGCGGCTCCCGGGGTTTGTGGCCGGCTGAGCAGTGAGGTAGGTGAAGGTGCTGCTGTTGGAGGTGCGAGTGGGGCAGGGGTAGAGGTTCATGCTAGCTGGGGGCTCTTCTGTGCTTTTCTGTTGCTATGCCTTGCTGCTGCAGCACTTCCCAGGACTGTAGCTTCACATTTATCAATGTGACTGACTGGTGTCCATATCCACCAATTAACAAGAGACTCCTGGAGAGCACGGATGGTCAGTTTTTCTCACTCAGGGCCTTGTATACAGCAGGTACTCAGTAAACGTTTGCAGAATGGATGGATGAGCAAAGCAGTGGCCTAGAATGTGACTACCGTAAGAAAAAGCCCTATGAACATACTTCATAGGCACGTGGGCCATGTTTTATGACGATGTGGTCTACCTCTCAGTAGTGTTCCTTCCCCCTGGGCCCTTAGGAAGATCTCTCTGGCTGCAACTTACAGCGAGTTGGCTGGACTGTGTGGCCTATGGACTGTGCACCCAGTCTCACCAAGCCTGGCTTTCTCTGTGCTTTAGCTGCTAGAAGCGCAGAGCGACACCAGTATCAGAGCCACTCTGACGAAAGTACATGTCTTTCGAGTTTACGGCCTGGGTTCAGGGTATGGTCCTCACCCAAGGCTTTGTTTTATCCTATTTTAATTTTCTCTTTCACTCCAATTTCTTCTTTTACTTTTTTATGCTTATGCTGCTGGGTATAATTTTTGTATGCTGCCTCAGAGCAATCAGTTTTAAATGAGGTGGAATCAGATACATTTTATAACGTTGAGAAACATCCCACCCAGCGTGGTGGTGGGGAGGAAAGGGGCCGAGGGATCCCACAGTTTGGAAAACCAATTCACAAGCCACCAGCCTGGAGTTTGGGAGGAATCTGTTGGCTGGGTTGTCCAGGTGGATGCCTCTCAGAAATCCCAGTGTGGACCCTCTAGAGACATGAGTAAGAGGTATGCTGTGTCCTCTGGCGCACGGCAGGCTGGGGCTTACCAGCCTGCAGTGGAGGACAGGCTGAGCATCCAGTGGCTTAAAGAAAAATTGCTCCTACCCTCCACTGCCAGAAATTTCTTTCTGAGGGAACCTAGCTGAAGGAAAGAATCCTAAGTACTAAAAATGTTAGAGGGTCTTGAGGCAAGGGCCTGCGGTTGTATCCCTGGCACTCAGCACAGCAGAGACCTGAGAAATCTCTGCCAAAAGCTAAGCTGGAGGCAATGGGCCAGATGTGCAGACGGCCTCAGAGGGATCTCAAAAGTACAGGGGAGAGAAAAGGCATACAGAGGGAGATGCACCGCACAGCTCTGTTTATGGAAGCTGGACTCTCAGTAGACACAGACAGACCGACACCATACATTTTATAAGGAGACACACATCTGAAGACAAAGCAAATGCATCAGAGTGTTTCTTGTGGACAGGGACATGGTGGTGGGACATGGAGACGGGCACTAGGGGTGGAGGGGCGCCTTTCATGGACTGATGACGGGATGCTATGAACCGAAGCATGGAATAAGTCCAACTCTTCACCAAGGTCCAGGAAAAAAAAAATCCGTGAATACCTAATGTTACTTGATGCACGCTGGTTTGTAAGAGTAAAAACCGGAATGACTTCTTTTGTTTAAAGTGGGGTGGGGGGTGCTGGAGGTGAGCTGTGGTCAACCTGCCTGTGGGGGGATTCTGAAACCATTAAGCAGCATAGTTCTGATCCAACAACGAGGGAATGATGGGACAGGAAGCAGGGGTTAAATATTACGTCGTGGACTCACTCACAGACTGGCAAAGATGAGGAATTCTGATGCCACCCCACGCTGGTGAGAGTCAAGGCAGCCAGCCCACTGCTCCCAATCAGGGGAAACGGAAAAGGGCGCCATCTTTCGCGGGGATTTGGAACTATCTGTTCAAACTACAAATGGAGATGCTACGTGACCTGGTCCTCCTACTGCAAATACACTTGAACACACGTGCCCAGGCCGAGATCCTGTACCCTGGGGCTGGCGCTCGCAGCAGCACCGCTGTGACATCCCAGCACCAGACATCCCTCAGAGGCGCAGCCGTAAAACAGAGCCACAGGCAGGTGTTAAGATTAATGAGGCAGACGTGACTGCACGGATAGAAAAATATCTCTACGGTGAACACCCTGTACCTCATACATATATTTGTTTTTAAATTTTAACATAAACGTAGATCTACGCGGAAGATCCAGGAGAAACTACACTGGGGAGAAGATTATGGCTCATTTACGTCTTCCCTTAGACCAAAAATGTTTTTTTTTTCACCATCTACCTGTGTTTTTAACATGTGAATTAAAAGTCGTCCTTGAGAGCTTTTAGTGACCAGGGAAAAAGCGCTTGTGAGGCACGACTGCAAAAACACAGGACATAACACTACAGCTAGGAGAGGATCATACTTATGTGAAAAGCATGCTTATTAAAAGCCTGAAAGGAGACATGCCCAAACGTTAATAGTGACTGTTACCTCTGCGTATTTTTCCCCCGCTCTTTAAAAGTTTTCTGCATATCTTACTTCCATAATCAGAAAACAGTATGTGTTATAGTAAAAAAAAAAAAAAAAGAAGAAGAAGAAGAAAAAAAGAAAAGCTTCAGAAGAGTTTGCAGTTAACATGAGAGAATGCTTATGATGTTATTAATGGGGAGTGAAAGCAGCAGCTACAAAACTGAGTACGCCACGTGGCCACAGCTACGGAGAAACCATGCACCGGGAAAACAGCGCAAGGACACACCTCCAAAGGGAATCTGTGATTGTCTCTGGTAGTGGGGTTTTGGATGACTGCTGTTTTCCCCTTTTTACTTTTCTGTGTTTTCCACGTTTTCAACACTGAGCCTGTGTAACTTTTATTGGGAAAATAAACCTCGGTAAATTAAAGAAAAAAAAAGGCAATTAGTATGGTAGAGGCGCATTGGAGACACAAGCTATACCCCGTCCCAGCATAAACAGTACAGTGCAAACCAAAATGGTATCATGAAAACAAAACAAAAAAGCCACACAGAGAAAAGAAATAATGACTATGGGAAAGAGTCCTAAACGCCATCGGTGGTTATCTCTGTGTTGGCAGTCGGTCTAGAGGTCAATTATTAGGACTTTTTTTTCACCCTTGTTTCTTTATTTTCTACAAATGAACATGCATATCTCCTGTGATGGGAAAAACAAAACAAAACAAAGTTATTTAAACCAAATAACACAACGGGTGGCAAAGGACTTACTTTGAAAAAGAGATAGAGCCCCAAGAGTGTGCAGCTGGCGATGATGGGGAAGCGGGCGGCGTCCCGGCTGGTGATAGTCTCTGGCATGTCCGAGGCGTTCTAGAGCAGACAAGAAAGGTGCCTGTGAGTCGGGAGTGCAGTTTTGGCCTCTGGGGCTGCGGCTCATTCATCCTCCCACCACATCTTTCCGACCCCAGGCTTTGGCAATGCGGTTCCCTCTGCCCACCCTGGGGCAAGATACTTCACCCTGCCATTTTGCACGAGGGCCATCTGGGCCTCAGCAGTGCAAGTGTGGCATATCTGGGGACAAGAGTGATGGCAGAGGCAGTTATGGCATGAAATAATTGAGAGAAAACCCTGGATACTGTGACAACAGATTAGTCCTAGACCTCATGAGAACTATTCCCGGTTTCCTTATGGATTAGCTACCAGGTAAACACGATGAATTTGTTATTCAATAGGTCTGAGTAGAAACAACGCAACAACTGATAAAACTGACAGCAATTGAAACTGTACACGGCAGACGCCAACTGCAAGGAGAAGCAAATCTTGACAAAACTTACACTTAAGAAATTTGACTGTGGAAACTGAATCTGGTAAGAGTAAAAGCCACAATTAAATCCACAATGGCAGATGCTACAGTTGGCGACAATGTGCTTTGGGTAAAGACACGACAGAGGATAAATATTTACATGAAAAAACCCGGATGTAGTCAAAATAATTTCAGTATTTTAAAAAAGGAAAAAAATGGGAGTGGAGCAACAGCACAGAATAGGGATTTTATCAACTTCATAGAATTCCAGCCAGAAAACTTTTTTTTTTTTAAGGATTTTATTTATTTATTTGACAGAGAGACACAGCGAGAGAGGGAACACAAGCAGGGGGAGTGGGAGAGGGAGAAGCAGGCTTCCCGCCAAGCAGGGAGCCCGATGTGGGGCTCGATCCCAGGACCCGGTGATCATTACCTGAGCCGATGACAGACACTTAACTGACTGAATAAACCGCCCCTCCCAGAAAACTTACTTACTTACTTTCTTCCTTTTTTTAAGATTTTATTTATTTATTTGACAGAGAGAGAAATCACAAGTAGGTAGAGAGGCAGACAGAGAGAGAGGGGGAAGCAGGCTCCCCGCTGAGCAGAGAGCCCGATGTGGGCCTCAATCCCAGGACCCCGAGATCATGACCTGAGCCAAAGGCAGAAGCTTAACTGACTGAGCCATCCAGGCACCTGCCAGAAAACTTTCTAATGAGAATCCACCAGTGGCAGTATAATTCTGGTTTAAATTTACATTAAAAAACACGAAGTTGAAAGCTTTCAAGATCATCATGCTCTCTCCATGCCCTCTCAGCTAAGCAAAATCCTCAGTCATCAAGGACCTTGCCAATGTCACTGCCATGAAGCATTTCCGGATTTCCCACTGGCTAAGCCTCCTCTCCCACTGCAATTCTCCCTGCACTTTGTATGTCTATTCCACTTTATATCCTAGTTACCAGAGGTCCTAGTAATGCCAGATGAAACTTCTGCTCAAGTCAAAGTCAAGTTCTCTCTCCACAGGCTCATCTCAATGCCTAAGATTCCACCATCACCACGTCTATCCTGTGAATAACGCACCAGCACCCTGGGGACAAGGGATCATGTTCAGCTGCAGAGTCTCATTAATTTTTTTGGCTCACGGCTGCCTCTTAAAAACCAACAGGACAAAACATGCTCAAGGGGAAGCTGCCTGGAGAGGGCAGATTTCGGGTCAGGCAGACCTTCTGCCCAACAATGGAAGGAAAACTGCAGAAAGGGAAGGAGACAGGGCAGAGAGCAGTAAGCCCATGCAATGGCCACAAAATGGAGCTGGGATGTGCACACACTGTTGGTTATAGTGCAAAATGGTCCAGCCTTTTGGGGAGGGCAACTCAGCATATGCACCAAACTGCAATTTACACGTGCCCAAGGGCCCCGAGAAGGTTCACAGAGCAGGAACCACAAAAAGCTCTTATTCACAGGAAAAAATGTTATCCTCACTCTTTCTTTCTTTCTTTCTTTCTTTCTTTCTTTCCTTCCTTCCTTCCTTCCTTCCTTTCTTCCTCTCTCTCTCTCTTTCTTTCTTTCTTTCTTTCTTTCCACCCTCACTTTTAATAAGAGAAGCTCGAAGTGAAGTGCACTGAGATTCCAGTTTTCATCTGTCAGAATGGCGGATGTCCCCACTGGGTAACAGACTGAGCTGGTGAGGCTACAGGGAAACAGGTGCTGACCCTTGGTACCTTCAGGAGGGTAAAATCGGTCTTCCTGCAGAGAGCACACTGACGGTATCTGTCAAAATCACAAGTGCATACACCTTTGACCAAGCACTTCCACTTCAGGGAATTTTTCCTACAGATAAAATTCACACACATGCGAACAATACACATAAAGTATGATAAAGGCAGGGCACCTGAGTGGCTCAGTGGGTTAACCGTCTGCCTTTGGCTCAGGCCATGATCCCAGAGTCCTGGAATCGAGCCCCACGTCAGGCTCTCTGCTCAGCGAGCCTGCTCTCCCTTTCTCTCTCTGCCTGCCTCTCTGCATACTTGTGATCTCTGTCTGTCAAATAAATAAATAAAAATTTATAAAAAAAAAAAGTATGATAAAGGCATTCAGTGCTCTAGTAAACGGCTTGCTGGGTGACTGAGGCACATCCTTTGCTCTCGGAGTCTCAGTTTACTCCTCTGTCAAACAGGATCACAGTCTCTAGCTTTATTTACCTCTAAAAGGGCCGAGAGATTTCAACTAAATGAGATATGGGATGCAGAACAGCCTGGCAAAGTATAAAGTGCTGTAACTGTGTATGAGGAGCTGGGACTGTCGGGGAGAGGGGGAGTGGGGAGGCGTTTCACCAAACCCCAGCATGTGCCTGACTGAGGTGGCCGGGAGGGAGACCCTCCTTTCTGGAGTACCCAAGGGCAGCTCTGCTGGTAGGAAGGGGTGGGGTGGGTGAGCAGTACTGACTCCCTCCATCTCCCCCAGCCCTGGGTGTCTGCTTTTGGCAGCAGCGTGCTGTGGGGCTGGGGAAAATTTCCCCACCCCTCTGTGTACCTCCACAAGTTCAATGTATGTCCCTCTAGCAGGAGCAGAGGCCCAAACGTAAATTAGACAGTTATTCATCTCAGAGTCCACAGGCAGGCAGGCCAAGACCCTGACATGCAGAGAGAACACCACGATACAGCATGACACATGACAAAACAAGACATATACGGCTGCGATACCCAGCCTGAGTGCCAAATGGGTGGGAGAGGGCTCTGATGCCAGAAAGTGACTTCTAGCTCTGCCTCTTTCCAGCTGTGGGGCCCAGGAATGTTATTTCTCTCTCTCAGAGCCTCAATCTCCTCAGCTGTATGGTGAATTTCAGGATTCTATGACTTTTTTTTTTTTAAGATTTTTATTTATTTATTTGAGAGAGAGAGAGAGAGTGTATGTGCACAAGCCAGGGTTGGGGGAGAGACAGAGGGAGAGGGAGAAGCAGACTCAACACTGAGCAGGGAGCCCAATGTGGGGCTTGATCGCAGGATGTTGAGACCATGACCTGAGCTTAGGGCAGACGCTTAACCAACTGAGCCACTCAGGCGCCCCAGGATTCTATGAATTTTGCATTGGAAATACTTAGTATTGTGCCTTAACTGTCACATGAGCTGTCTAGACTCTGTATTATTATAAGTAGTAGTAGTAGCAGTGGTATATAAAGAATCACAAGAAAGCAGATGGCACTTAGGCAAAGCCTTGAAGGTCAAGCATGGGTTCTGGTAGGGTGTAGGAGCCAAATATATACAGAGTTGAGGAATTCGCTTTGTGTACAAGGCAGGGAAACAGGAGGCAGAGGGACCTGCAGTTGCAGAGCACAGGGGATTCTGGTCTCACCTACAAACCAGCGTTAGGGCTCATTTCCACATATTCCTTTCTTCCTTTCCTCCCCCCCCATGTTGGGTTCTGCACTGGGCATGGAGCCTGTTTAAGATTCTCTCTCGCTCTGCTCCTCCCCTCACAAACACCCCCCCCCAAACAGTTAACCTTTGTTGTTACAGAAATATAAAAAGTTGTTAGGATTCTCTACCAATTTGATGTGGGTTTTCAAGCCAGATGCTCTTAAGCAAATGCAATAGCTCCCAAAACACAAAACGTAATTAGTGAGAGAGAAAGAGTGTGTGAGAGTGTGTGTGTGTGTGTGTGAGAGAGAGAGAGAGAAAGAGAGAGAAGCTGACACAAATAGCCGAAATAAATTTAGCTTCCAGTGACATTGTGGATGTTCAGTTATCAGGGCGGAAGCAAAAGCATCAAGGGAAGACAGATGCCGGGCTTCGAGTCATTGGCTCGGCCTGAGCTCTGGGAGTGCTGCTTCCAGGCCATGTCCTAGAAATGATCTGGGACTTGTGGACCATTCTGTTCATTTCACCCCAGCTGGAGACCCCAGGGTCTCCTCCTCTTTCCACCACATTCATTCACTCACCTCACCATGACTCTGCTTCCTAAGCATTTCTAGAACTCAAACTGGCACCCCCCCCCAACCAAATCCTGTGCCCCACTGCAGTCTTCACGGCGACCACCTGACCAGCCTCCTTCCTGTTCTCCCTCCCGCCCATCACTGACTCTACCAGGAGCTCTTTGTGAAGCCTAGACCTGACTGGATCCCTCAGTCTGGCTCAGAAAGCCCTGGGACCGGACTGCTGCGCAGCCATTACACAGGAACTGAGGTCACTGCTGGTGGGCGTATAAACTTACACAACCTCTAGGGTGCGTAATTTGGTAAGATCCATCTAAATCAAACATGCGCATGGCCTTTGACCCCGCAAATCAATTTAAAAAAAAATCCTACAAATACAAACAAGTGTGAAGTAATAAACATATAAGGAGAGGAATTTCAGCATGGCTTGTCATAGCAAAAGACTGACACCCATCTGAATAACCAGTGGAGAACTCTAAATCAGAGGTTCTCACATGAACACCCAGAAGAATTGTCAGGAGGGGCTGTGAAAACAGACTGCCAGGCCCACCTTGAGTCTCTAACTCAGAATCTACGTTTCGAACCAGCTCCCAGGTGAGGCTGTGGCCGCTGCTGCTGGTCCAGCGATCATACTCTGAGACCAGTACTCTAAACAAATTGTGGGGCACAGGCTGGATCCCACAGAGCTGCCGAAGAACATGACCACTCCGTACGCACAGATACACTGATCTCCAACATATACTTGGTGAAAAGAGCCAGGCGCCAAAAAGTGGATTTATAACAAAATGTAAGTTATACTGCAAAAATGCAGGGAAAGCATATGCTTATTTATTTGTAAAGGCACAGAACTTCTTGGATATCCAAGAAACAGGTAACAGGGGGTGCCTCTGGGGAGGGAAGCTGGGTAGCTGGGTGGGACGGAGGCTTTGCAATGCCCTCTGCACCTCTGGAATTCTATACCACAGGCATGTGTTACTTACCCTCCCTGACATAAAATAATGAGGCAGATCTGCAGATATGGACAGGAAAATGACCATGACACAGCGTTAAAAAACAAACAAACAAACAAACAAACAAAAAAACCCATGTCAAACTGCAGAGCAGTATGTACTATAAAATCCCACTGCTATAAAAATAAATTTACATCTGTGTATACACACAGGCACACACACATTTATATATACATAGAAAAGTTCTGGAAGATTACACACCAAAGAGCTAACTGGGTTCCTTTAAGGAGTGGTACTGAGGAGGCTTTTCCTTTATACTTCTGCATGGCTTGGATTTTTTTTTTTTTTTTTTTTTACAAGTGTGTGGTCATTTTGTAGCTATGAAGATGAACTACTGTGTTGCCTTCAGGATTGTATCATGCAGAAAGGCTGCAGGCTGCCTGAAAATCTTTCTGTTATGGCTTCCAGGGCCCTGCCCCGGGGGCTTGCATCGCACTGCTCGCTGCCCCTCTGAATGCACCCTACAAAGCCATGCCTCCCTCTCTCCTCTTCTGCCTGCTGAACTTTCGCCCATCTTTGCAAAGGCAGCTGCGGCCTCCTCTGGAAGGCGTATCAGGATTCGGTTTAGTTGGCGGCTTACACATCTGTTTCTCCATGGGGCACTGAGCTCTGGGAAGACAAGGCCTGGCATTTGTTGTCCCAGCACCCCTGGTACCCAGCCCAGGGCCTGGCACAGAGCAGAAGCCCAGTCCAGTTGGCTGAGGGGCTCCTCTGAGTTACAGGCCAAGGGCCTTTGAAGTAATCTGATCCCCAGCTATTGCTTGGGTTGGGATTTGCTCCCTTCTGGGAACACAGGTCTCTGAGAGGGATGGGCACCCCTCTAAGACTGCACCTCCCACAGCTACTTCTTCCCAACACACTCCTGGATGCTCCACCTTCTTCTCTCCATGATTTCACAATTTGCCCTGCCTGTTATGGACAACTTGGCTCCAGAGATAATTCTGTCCTCACATGCCCTCTCTCAGCTGGCTTTAAGGTCTAACACTGGTGGGAAATCAAAACTCCTGGGCCCCCACACTAACTTTTCTCTCTCCTTGCCACATGACTGGGAAACATGACTCAGGGTAGAAAAAGGGAGTTGCTGGCTTTCCCCCCCGCAGGCCCAAATGCCACTTGTGTGGGTCTTTAGAGGCACATATATCAAGGACAGCCTTGGATTAGGTTTAGCAACACCTAGTTCTGCCCTTTATTGGCAGAGGGATCAAGAGTAGTCATTTCTTTGACCCTCAGTTTCTTTCTCCATAAGACAGGGAAAATAAAACTGGTTCCATCTGTAACATTCAGTTGCTGGGAGAACCAAAGACGGTGAAGGCTTTGTTCAGGCAGAACATCCTGGTTATTGGTGGTGGGTCTGGCTGTCTGCAATTTCATGCAGCCTGCAGGAGATGGTGGGCAAGGTATTCTAGAGGCCATGGTGGATGGAGTGCTCTCTTCTATGCACACCCTCTGTTCCCACGACACCAGAGCTTTGGCCAACTCTTCAGCTATCTTTTTTCTTTAAAGATTTATTTATTTGAGGGGTGCCTGGGTGGCTCCATCATTAAGCGTCTGCCTTTGGTTCAGGTCATGATCACAGGGTCCTGGGACTGAGCCCCACATCGGGCTCCCTGCTCCGCGGGAAGCCTGTTTCTCCCTCTCCCACTTCCTCTGCTTGTATTCCCTCTCTGTCTCTCTCACTCTCTGTCAAATAAATAAATAAATAAAATCTTTAAAAAAAAGATTTATTTATTTGAGAGAGAAAACAGAGGAAGAGAGAAAGTGCACAAGCATGAGCAAGAGGGGCAGAGAGGGAGAGAACCCCAAGCAGATTCCATACTCGTCGCAAAGATGGACACAGGGCTCGATCTCACAAGATCGCGATCACGATCTCAGCAGAAAGTAAAAGTCAGACGCCTGAACCCTGCTTAGAAGAGGCAGAATGGAAAAGCAAGTAGGGCCATCTAAGCCCTGACTATTTCCCTTTGTGTCTGCCCAAAGAAGGACCCAACAGAGAGTTCTCTGATCTTGGGTAAGGAAGGTGGTAGACCTCAAGTTGTGTAATGGTTTGAAAAGCCGCACTTGAGCAGTTTCAAAAGTGGCAGCTGCCTTGTGGACCTGCCCTCTTCGGGTAAGACAGCTTCCGCTTAGGTTCAGCTTCAGGTTTTGGTGGGGGAGGAGCTACAGATTAGGAGGGGAGAGGGTGCCAGGAAGTGAGAAGCAATCGGTTCAAGGGGCTGGAGAAGGCTTAATAGGGAAGAAGATGGAGAGAGGGGGAGATGATGGGGTCCTTCTAGGTGTCCAATGGGACATATGTTGAGGACGATCAGGAATGGGTCTGGCCTGGTCTCATAAGGGAGCCCAACAGCAGCTCAGTAGGTGAGCTCAATTTGGTGGAGGGACTGTCTTAGGGAGCACAGAGAGAAAAGCTACTTCAAGGTAGGGTCAGGGTCTGGGGGGTGGGAACAGGGTGTGGAGTTGGGAACAGGGTCTGGGCTCAGGCTAGGACAGGTCCAAGACTGGGAGTGTCTACCAGTCAGGAAGACCAAACCAGCAAAAGAAGGGGTCTATGCTTGGTTAAAAAGAGAGGCACTGTGGTGCCAGGTTCTGAGGGGCTGGTTGAGTGAAACTGGTCTGAGAAGTGAAGCCAAAAACTGGTGCCTGAGCTGCGACTATATCCTTGGTTTAATTTTTTTGAGGCGGCTCAAGGGCCTGATCTGGAGGTTTTAGAAGAGTACATTATGGGTCACAGATTCCAGCTAGACAGGTGTCACAGTTTCAGATGCCAGAATTTGCCCTAGGGTGGATGAGGCAGGGTTCCGAATGGAGGAATGACAGGGGACTGTACCACTCAGTTGTCAGGACCAGCGCCCCATCAGGTACAGACGGGGGTTGACCCAGAACCCAAGAAGAGGTGCCCCATATGGGATAAGCAGCCAGAGCAGAGGGTGGGGCCGGCCTCGCTGGGTCCAGCAGGCTCAGAATAATACACTGCCCGAATCCCGGTGTGAGGCTGACAGTGTTTGCAGCATGACGGACAGAGGCAGGGATATGTCAGGGTCCGAGCGAGGGCAGAAGCCGGTCCCTGTGAGGGGAGGTGTCAGATCCCGGAGCACCCAGGGCCAGCTCCCGGATATGGTCTCGGGATGGGGAAGCGGTGGCGATCCATGCCGTGAAGGGTCAGTGTCTGGGGAGAAGAAGTGTCTGTTTCGCCAAGGGCGGGGGGTGGGGGTCCGTGTCAGTCGTGTCCCAGGTGGGAGACGGAAAGCACGCGCGGTTTTGCCTCCGACCCTACCTTGCCGCGGGCGCAGCGCACCGAGCGCAGGGCACCGAAGAAGATGGGCAGCAGCGCCATGAGCAGGAGGCTGCCGTAGGCCAGCGCGATGCCCTCGGGCGTGGAAGGCGGCCGCGTCGTGCCGTTGGCTGCGCCGCCTGCCTCCGCGCTGCCGTTGTGCGGGTCGCTGAGGGCCGAGTCCATGGCGACACTGCGCTCGGGGTCCGACTCCAGCTCCGGCCGCCGCAGCGGAGACGCAGACGCGAAGACGGGCGCTGCAGCGAAAAGCCACGTTCCCTTAAAGAAACAGGAAGTGACGTGCTGCCCTCGCCGGTCCGCGCCGCGCACGCGTGCGCGTTCACGTCTCCCCGCCCGCACGCCCTCTAATGGTAGCTGAGGGCCGGGCGACCAGTTGCTAAGTAACACGCGATGGGTCGGGAAAGGAACCCTGAGACCGCTGTGCTGGGCATCCATCCGGAGGGAGACCTGAGGATCCCATACCCCGGTCCCAGACGACTTCCTCAATCGCCTTTTCCTCTCTCCACAAGACCTCATCCTGATAACTCAGAATTTGTTCATTCATGCGTGATCCATCCGATATTTAATTGTTCCTTCACTCTTTAAATATTTGAGTATCCCATTATATGTCAGACGCTGCCCCAGGCTCTGGGGACACAGAGAGGAACAATAGAGGCAAAAGTCCGTCCCTTTACTCGTGTAGCTTGCACTTTTAGCGCGGTGGTAGGGGAAGGGGTTGGGAAAACAATAAAATGAAGAAAATAAATAAAAATATGGAGTCTGTAAGATATTCGTATGTACTTATGTATTCTATAGTATGTTAATGGACATAAATAATTCAGACAGACCTCCCTCTCTAGGAATCTAGTCCACTTCTGGATTTAGCTTGGGCCAGGGGACAAAAATCAGGGGGTTGGCTATGCAGATGGGAAGTCCTGGAGAGTTTCCAGTGTATAGGTGTGTAGGGCTGAGGAGAAGGTGTGGGCAGGAGTAACCTGAATTTGGGCACAGACCCATGCTGTCTGGGGCTCCTGGCTATGCAACTGCTACCCTAGTTACAAGCTGGAGGAAGTATGTGGCCGGCAAACTGAGAAATTTGCACAGTGCAGACACCAGGCACTGGAGAAATTTTGGGCCAAGTAGTGGAGAAAAAATCATGCTCTCCAGGAACCCAGGAAGTAAGCCAACCTGAAACCTGGAAAGGAAGGTCCATTCCCCCTCCAATGTGCCTTTAGTACCCTGTAGTGAAAAAGCTTAACGATGTGAGCTGGAAAAGGAGAACTGCTTAGAAGGCCCAGTTCCATTAATACAGAGAGGCAAAAAGAGTGGATTTAGAGCTGAGACTCAATGAGTTGATAAATGACACAGATGGTATAAAATCACATGTCCTGGTCCAAGCTTGACAGGTGGGGAGGTGGGTTTGGAGCATGGGAGTCATGGTGAGGGCAGACAAAGATAAGGAGTCAGACTACAAGAGTTCTGTTTTGTTTTTGTTTTTAGAGAGAAGGGACAGAGGGAGAGGGAGAAAGAGCACCTTTTTTATTTTTTTAAGATTTTATTTATTTATTTGATGGAGAGAGACACAGTGAGATGGGGAACACAAGCAGGGGGAGGGAGTGGGAGAGGGAGAAGCAGGCTTCCTGCTGAGCAGGGAGACCAATGTGGGTCCTATCCTAGGACCACATGATCATGACCTGAGCTGTAGCCAGACACTTAACAACTGAGCCACCCAGGCGCCCTGAGAGAGAACATCTTAAATGGGTTCCACATCCAACAAGGAGACCAAAGGAGGCCTCCATGTGTGGTTCAATCTCACAATCCTGGGATCATGACCTTGGCCAAAAACAAGAGTCAAGTCACTTAAGTGACTGAGCCACCCAGGTGCCCCAGACTATAAGAGTTTGAATAATAGGTTGTTTGGGGTCACCTGGATGTCTCAATTGGTTAAATGTCTGACTCTTAATCTCAGCTCAGCTCTCAAACTCAGGGTTGTGAGTTCAAGCCCCACATTGAGCTCTATGTTGGGCATGGAGCCTACATTTTTTTTTTTTAATTTGACAGACAGAGATCACAAGTAGGCAGAGAAGCAGGCAGAGAGATAGGAGGAAGCCGACTCCCCGCGGAGCAGAGAGCCCAACGTGGGGCTCGATCCCAGGACCTTGGGATCATGACCTGAGCCGAAGGCAGACACTTTAACCCACTGGGTCACCCAGGTGCCCCTGGAGCCTACATTAAAAAAAAAAAAAAAAAAAAAAAAGAAAGAGTTGTTTGCCTAGTATGTGCCAGACACTGAACTAGTAACTTCATGTGTGTATAGGTGTGTGTGTGTGTGTTTTATCTCCATAACATTAGTAAGAGATGAACTGGTCCCATTTTATAGATGAGGAAACTGAGCCTCACAGAAGTAAGCTAAACTAGCCAGCCCAGGTTACACAGCCAGAATAGGAGCAGGAGCCTCTTGAACTCAGGTCTGTGGGACTCCAAAACCTTTGCTCTTTGCAACATTCCAGCTACGTGGGAGGCTAAGGAGTATGGATCAGAATAACTTAGTTCTGGGCAGATGGTATCCAGCTTCAGGCTGTGTTTTTCAATAAGCTGGTCATGACTGGAATGAATGGATAAAGGCAGTGTGCCTGATGAATTCGCCCATCAATAATTCAAGCCACAGGATTCGCCCAGCAACCAGGCCTCACTGCTCTGTGCCTCCTTATCGGAGAGGCCAGGATTGGAAACTGGAGATAGTCCTGCTTCCCCCCCCTGGCTAAGCATTTGATTTAGTTTGCTCTGGGGCAGATCTGGCCATCACTCTTTACATTGCAGAGTGGGAGATTGTAAATATGACCCAGGGAACTAAGGGTGTGACCCAAGTTCAGAAAGATCCTCTGGGGGCTTGGATTTCTGGCTTGGAGCAGACCCATCTTTTTTTTTTTTTTTTTTTTTTTTAATGTTATCTATGGGGCGCCTGGGTGGCTCAGTGGGTTAAGTCTCTGCCTTCGGCTCAGGTCATGATCTCAGGGTCCTGGGATGGAGCCCCGCATTGGGCTCTTTGCTGGGCAGAGAGCCTTCCTTGCCCACCCCGCCCCCGCCTGCCTCTCTGCCTACTTGTGATCTCTCTCTGTCAAATAAATAAATAAAATCTTTAAAAAAATGTTATCTATTTTTAAAAAGATTTTATTTATTATTTGATAAAGAGAGGGAGAGGGGGAGAGAGAGAGAGAGAGCATGAGAGGGGGAAGGGCAGAGGGAGAAGCAGACCATCTGCTAAGCAGGGAGCCTCATGTGGGTCTTGATCCTGGAACTCCAGGATCATGACCTGAGCTGAAGGCGGTTGCTCAACCAACTGAGCCACCCAGATGCCCCAGACCTGTCTTTTTCTTCCTTTTTTTTTTTAAAGATATTATTTATTTTTTTGACAGAGAGAGAGAGAGAGAGATCACAAATAGGCAGAGAAAGAGGGGGAAGCAGCCCCCCACCGCCAAGCAGAGAGCCCGACATGGGGCTCCGTCCCAGAACCCTGGGATCATGACCGGAGCTGAAGGCAGAGGCTTTAGTCCACTCAGCCACCCAGGCACCTCCCCAGACCTGTCTTGATATTGTCTGAAAACAGGAATGAGATCGCCTGCAGGTGGGTGTCCTGTGGCTTTAACTACTGAAGCCTCCTATATGGGGTTACTTTCCCAGAGGATGTCTGAACTGAGGTCAAGAATGGAGCTTGTTTAGAGCCTGGGATAGTTAAATTACCAAATACTTGTTCCAGAGAAGGATGGGTCCCCACTCTCCTATTCACTTGTTCCCGTATCCAGTCACCGTGAATGGATTTCAGATTTTCCAACCTTTTTCCCATATATGCTCACACACATACTCACCCACACTTACACATACTATTAAATGTTTAATTATTCCTGAAAATAACAAGCAAAGATCATGAATGGATGCTGAAACTGTTATAAGGTTGAGGAACAGGATTGCCATACAATCTTAGAGTGTCACGCCACGGATTACCTGCTAATTACAAAAGGAAGAAGTTTCCTTTATGATGGAGCGACAAAACAGGAAAGGATGGGTTGGGACAAAATGACAAACTGTGCTACAATGTGCGGGACACGTCATCTGTGTGGTCTTCTTGCCAAACATGTTTGACCCACACCTACTCAGGAAGGAACATCAAAAAAAAAGTCAGAAAAAAATACAGACTGTTGAACAGTCTACAAGACAACTAGCCCGGCCTCTTCAAAAGCGTCAACTCCTCGGGGGGGAAAAAAAATCCCCATGGGGATTGTTGCGGATGAAAGGAGACAAGCGTAAAGTACCATCTGTGATTGGATTTTGGGTCACAACATTTTAAAATAGGCTGTAAAGAAAAATTTCAGATGAACGGGGAAATCTGAATACTGGTTGTTTGGGTGTCATTGTATCGTGACTGTAGGATCTTACTAATCAAGGTGTGGTGCCCAGGTTCCCCCTCAAAGCATCCCCTGGGAGCCTGGAAGCAATGCAGAATCTCCACTCCACCCAGGACCTTGAGTCTGATGAACTCATCCCTCTGCTTCTGAGATTGAAAATAAAATACATGGGGCACCTGGCTGCCTCAGTTGGTAGAGCATGGGACTCTTGATCTCTGGGTCATGAGTTCGAGCCCCACATTGGGCATGGAGCCTACTGAAAAGAGAGAGAGAGAAAAAAAGAAAATACAAGATCTTTGAAGCCTTTAAGAAAAAACTGTCATTTCAGAGTTCCCTTTGTTCTTTATTGAGCTGGGGGCAGAGGTTGGATTTACAAAAGGAATGACAAGTGTCCTTCTGACAGTGGGTCAGGTTCTGTGGTTTGCAAGAGCTGAAAGCCCAGCTGGAGAGCATTTTAGGCAAAGGTGGAACTGTTAGGGTCTTGAACTCCAAGGATATTGTAAATAACCAAACCACTGGACAGCTGGACCGGACCTGCAGGGACAGAGTGACCTCAGTGACCCTCAGCAACCAGGGCATCTATGCTGCCAGATTTTCTCTCTGTTCATCTCTGCCTTTATTCTCTTTCACAGCAAACCCGTGTGCTACAAATGGCACCCCCATGAGCTGACTTAACAGGTAATGATTTGCCTCCAGAACCCAGAGCTCCTGGGTTCATGAACCCTCTTGGTTCAGCGTGGTCATGATGTCCAGCTCCACTGTCAAAAGGCTTCTGGGGTGGGTGAGACTTCCAATACAACGATCTGAGTCGGGGGTCAGTGGGGATTTCCATAATCACCAGCCATGCTGTAGCATGTTGGAGTGATGAAATGTTGAACCACAGGATGTTAA